ATTATACTCCTTCTAGAATGCTAAACAAAAAGATGAAAGAAAAACCGTTGATGATGAATGAGAGAGGTGGAGAAACACATAAGAAAGAAAGATGATTAGGGCTTACATTAGTATGAATAGACGGATATAAATTGTTATTTCTTAAAGAAAGATTTAACATACAATTAAGTTACAATTATAATTATTATTTATATATCTAATCAAATCTTAGTTACTAGTTATTGATTATAATTATTAGTTTTTAATTAAGTTTTAAGTTTAAGGGTATTTATGTAATTTTAGTAATAACCATATGTCGTACTTTTTTTATAGGTTTCGTAGTTATCCTGCGTGGCACGTTTCTATTGGTTGATCTTCAATCGTTTTGGTCCGAGAAGTATAATGCCTCTCGAACCTTAGACACCCCAAGTATCTTATCGCCTAGAACTTCCAAGCTCTTTGAAAATTCACCCGGTCTTCAATATGAGTATGTTGAAACCTTATCACGAAGACAAGGAAGACCCGAGCCGAGGAGAGTCACACCGAGCACCACCCATTATGACTAAGTCATATGATAAGGAGATTGAGGAAGTGCTCGGCCGACAACTGAAGCGACGTTGGGGTGTTCCCGAGTATTCAATACCTCATCAAATGGAAGGGATTACCCGAGTCCGAGGCAACGAGGGAGACTAAGGAAGACTTGTGGCAATTTCAAGATCGTCTTCACTTGTTCGAGGCAACGAGGACGTCGCCGGATTAGGCGGGGGAGGATGTCACGACCTGCCAATTTTGGCCCAATCCTTTGCCAGTTACCCTTGGGTTGGGAGGTTAAGGAAGCCCAAAACTTAACCCAAATAGGGTTAGGCCCAAGTGGCCCAAATATATAGAGAAGTAGAGATTCTTGGAATTCTAGAAAATATTCTAGAACCCTCCCTTGTAGATATTTTGTAGGAATTCTTTGAAGTGTTCTAGTGAACAACTCCCAACTGTTAGATCAAATAGATCTCCACCGTCCATTAAGGAGGTGGTCTAGTATAAATAGAGGTAGGGTCCTCATGTGTAATCATCCAACAAAAGATCCAACAAATCCAACATCCAAGCACTTAAGCAATAAAAGTGGGGCGAAAATGAGCTAAGGCCGCACGGTTCGTTGTTAAGGGAACAAGTCCGTGACATGCGGCTCATTCCCAGACTCGTTCGGGGTTAGTAATCGACGTACCTTAGATTCATCACAAAATCAATCAACTGGAATTCAAGAAAATGACACTGAGGTAGATAATCGACTTACCTTCGACTCATCACAACAAATTCAAGGAAACGTCGAAGTTGGTCATGCTGCTGAGAGTTCTATTGTGGAAACTGGGTTCCCTAATAGACTTTCGGGAAGAAGTTCCAATGAAACGATTGTTACAGCGGAGCAGAATGTAGGTGACTACGTGTTATTACATCGAGTGGAAAATTTTATTTTTCAATAGGGTGTCACACAGTCGTACTCCTTTTGTAGAACTGCCCTGATTTTCGAAGTTTTCTTCAAAACTTGTTTTCCCAGCCACGAAAAATATTCGTCGGCGGATGTTCGTCGACAATTTCTTGAATAATTTCCACTCGTTGATTAGCGCCAACTTCTGAGTCTGAAGCCTTAAAAAATTCACTATTATCCATCTTTCTTTTTCCCCTTTCTTCAAAAATTTATTATTATCACTCTTTCTCGGGTCGTCGGAAAGACACGCCGCCACCTGCTCCTCCGGCATCTCCTCCTCCTCCCTCTCTCTCCTCAAACACGACCACAACCTATTTCTCTTCTTCTTCTCCTTGTATTTTTTTCTTGCATCAATATCCCACAATCGGAAATCCTCTGGAATCCGGCCGTAAAACAGTTCCACGGCCAGCAATCCGAACATCCACACATCAGTAGCTTTATTATTACTCTTTTGCCCCTCTCCGTTCTTCTTCGTCAATAGTTCCGGTGGGTTTGCCCAGTCCGGATAACCGCACGCGCCGCCGCACTTGGACGTTTCAACGTAAAAGTCCACATGGCACGTGAGGTGTACGTAATCGCAGGTGCAATACGAAAGCGAACGGGTAGCGAGCCTGACGACGCGTTGGCCGTCGATGAAGATGCAGTCGGCTCCGACGTTGGGATGAACGGCGTTCTTCACCCGGTGCATGTGGTCCAACCCTTTTAGGGTTCCGCTGAGGATGAAAGCGACGTCCGAACTTCCGGGCAGCCCGTTTCTGAAACTAGACCGGAGCGCACACCTTATAGATTTTCCGGGCAGCGGGGGCATGATTAACCACAAATTATCAGCCCACGACCATTTCGAACGGTCAACGTTCATCAAGTTTTCATGGTCTTCGATTTCTTCTAGGACAGAGTTATAGAAATCTCTCTCTCTCTAAATTACTGCGTCTATTACCATATCCTTCCGGTACACGACGGCCGGCGAACTATATATATACATGTGTATATGTATATATGTATATATTCTTGTAGGGTTATATATATATATATATATATATATATATATATATATAAATAAAAGAAAAAGTTGATTTCAGTTGGGTGTGATGCTACAAAGTTGGCTACATGCACGTACAGTTGCGTTTAATTATGAGTACGTAGGTTTGATTTTTATTGTTGCATTGTTAACAATATTTATCAATATTATATGTTGGGTTTATTAATGAATATATGAATTCAATTCATGCATAATAAGTTAATAACCTCACATTTAGTTTATCTCAAACTTTTTCCAAATTGATGTGGGACTCCATATATTATATTTGGGATTATTTTGTAGAACCCCTCATTCCCAAATTATATAGATCTAACTACTAAGTGGATTACACTCTAAGGGAAATCCCCTAATTTCGAAAATATTTTGACATACCCCCTGGGCCCCTCTGAAGTACCTATAATACCCTTTTAAAATCAGTTTTAAACCCTAGACACTCACATTTCGGTCTCTCTTCTTCTCCTAGATTCAAAATCCCGCCTCCACAAACCTCCCACCAGTGAAATTGCTTCCCGGAGCCATAACTCTCTCTCCGGTGGTCGGAATTCGATGGTTTAACTACAGTTGGATTCCTCTCGTCGGGCTCTTTCTTTTGGTGGTGATTCATTCAGTTTGGAACGCAAATCTGTTTCTGTAATTTTTTTTCATTCGACGACGATGGTCTTGCCGGAGGTGTTCTTTGTGTTCCACCAGTCGAAATTTGATGGGCTACCCACCGTTGGATTCCTCTCGTCGAGATCTATATTTTGATGGTAATTTTGTTTATTTTTATGTTTACAGATTTATTTCTATAATTTTTTGCATTTGTGGGTGCGCGAAACTGTGGGTGGTTAGTAGCGGCGCCTAGGGTTTTGGCAGAAGGCGAGGGGGTTTGAGGATTATATTCACTATATGCTTGATTTAAAATTTGTAGCATTTCCCAGCAATAACCTCTTTCTATCTCTCGATCTCTTAGTGTTTGTTGATTTTTGAGTGTTTTGATGTTTCTTCAAATTTTGTTGATTTGCAACTAAGTAATTTTTTTTTTGTTTTGATTTTTCAATTGCAGCTTGCAGCTTATGAAAGCCATTGATCCTCTCCTTGAAGGTGTCAAAAATTTGGTTGAAGTCACATGTGAAGCAGTGTTTGACAAATTATAATACATTACTATACATTAATATACATATATAGTAACATGTAGTTATATATGCATATATTTGTGTATTTTCAATTTTTTATTTTTTTTGGTTCTGAGGTGATTTATAATAAAATATTGACATTTGTAAATTTTTATTGGGGTTTATGAATTTCTTTTGTATAAGCCAGTATTCGTGTGTGTATACAATTGATCGACTAAAAATATGGGAAAAAATAACGAATATAACTACGAATTACTATAGGTACTATAGTTACATGTAGTTATTTTCAGTACAACAAACATATTATTTTGAAAATTAAAAAAATTAAAAAAATTAAATTAATTAAATTTTTTTTATTTAAAAAAAATATATATATATAAATTTAACAAAGAGGTTTATTATTATTTATAAAAAAAATAAAAAAAAATAATAATAATAAATAAATCAGCGAAAATGATAAATATAGTACCAGAAATGCTGAATGCAGTTTGGCCGGAAATTGCATATAAGGTACTTTCCCTTCTCCAGGGGAGTATGTCAAATGATGATTTGGGCTTGGGTTTATCCCTAGTTTATTTAGTGGCTAGGGGTTATGTAAAATAACCCCATATATTTTTAGATATATATTTATACATATCCTTACTTGCTTTATTTTTTAATATTTAGAAAAATATAGTATGATCTATTTCCATCATAAATCATAACAATATAAGTGTATTTGATTTGTTCATTATTTAATACGAGGTAGATTTGATTAACTAACTACCAACTAACAGGGCCGCCCTGGAGTGGGGCAATTAGGGCCCACGCCCAGGGCCCAAATTCCTAGGAACCCAATATTTTTATAGTCTTATATATATATACTTACTCGTTTGTATGTAAAAAAATATTTTTCTATTTTTTTTAAACAAAAATTATTCTTCTATTCAAAAACATATTTCCATTTATAATTTTTAAAACTTAGGTTAAAAATATACAAGTTAAAATCTTTATTCTATTCGAAAAATTATTATTGCGTACTTCTCTAATATTTGCTTTACAAAAAAAAATATTTAGATATACATAAGTATTTTCGATATTTTATTGATAATAAAGTTTATATTAATAAATATTTATTTATATTATGTCATTAAGTATAATATGCCAGAAAAACAAAAAAGGGATGACCCTGCCAACTAATCTAATTATTCGTCATATTGCAGTCTACTTCAGTTTATCTAAACGAATACATTTCACGAAATCTACAAGATTATGCTGAATTTGACATCATAAGGGTGGACGTGTAAAAAATTCATAATTGATGAGTAATTATAATTATCCAAACATGAGGGGTGACCATACCTCATGATGGCCGTAATTTACCCAATAAATAAAAATAAACAACTAATTAAATAGTAGCCCTATTGGGAAAATCCTTCTGGAACAACCGGTAACCCATCAACTGGCTCGCCGTGGGCCGCCGCTCCGCCTCACCGGAAAGACATGCCGCCACAACCTCCCTCAGCTCCTCCGGCATCTTCTTCGTCCTCTTTGCCGCCACATTAAAACACCCGAATATTTTTCCAATTAATTTCCCAATATTATCCCTCTTCTTATTTTTCGACGACACGATATCATCCGCCGGAATCTCACCATAGAACAATTCCACCGCCAGCAAACCGAACATCCACACGTCAGCACTCTTACTTCCCGCCTTCCCAGAATCTTTCACCGCCGCCCACTCCGGCAGAAAATCCAATTCCTCACCATACGGACCGTACAAAAGCAAACGAGGCACAATTTTGATGCCGCCGGAATATTCCTTGCGGGGGAATATTACCGAGCCGGCGCCGATTTTCTGATGAACCACGTTCTTGCCGTGCATGTAGTCCAAAGCCTTTAGGGTTTCTTTCAGGATAAAGAAGACGGTACCCTCAGGCAGGCCTTGCCGGAAAGTTGACTTGATCGTTGACCGGATCGTGGGCCCCGGCAAGGGCTCCGTGATTATCCAGAAGTACTCCTCGTCGGCGAAGAAGGAGCAGTGGATTTTCACCATGTTGTCGTGGTCGCAGCATGTTTTAGCTTTGTTGACTTCGTCGTGGAAGAAATAGATGTCTTCGATTTGATTCGTGTCGAAGATCTTGATTCCCACCGGAATCTCACCTCCGGTGGCCGGATTTTTGTGTTTTCCCCGGTAAGTTACGGCGTTCTCCGACGCGCCGACGGCGTCACCTAGCACGTATTGTTCTTTGTCACGTGGGAAATTCATGGTGTAGTACTTTTGTAAATTTATTATGGAACTGATTTTGTGTCTACTAATTAAATTAATGTGCAATGGAAGTTATAGAGTATATATAGATAGGTGTTAGAGTTGTTGAAGGATAAGTTAATAATACTCACAATTGAATTATAATTCTACCATATAATTTAATTATTTCATCAATTAAATTAAATTAAAAGAAGCAAAACTAATTAAACATATAAATCATCAAAATTAAATAACAATAATTACCTTAAACATACTTGAAATATAATCCTCATATATACATAGTACCTCTTCGTCTTCAAGACTTAATCTATAAAACTAAAACCTAATCTTCATTCTTAGAAAAAAAAAAAACAATTGATATATTCATCTATAGATATATTCATCTTGACCTTGGTATATATACTTATTTATATATATATTAGCGTAACAAAAATCGACAAGTATATATGTCGCGAATATGCATTAAGTTACAAATTTCCGAGGTTCGGGACAACACCCTAATTCTGTTTTTAAAACAAAAAATTGGGAAAACAAGTAAATATTTGTAAAGTTTCAATTAAAAATTGCAAGAGTTTGAAATCGTGTTATTTTTCGATCACTTTGGAATAAGTAATAACCGAACTCGTCTCCTTAGATTTTAAATACTAATTTACCTACATTAGTAAATACATCAAAATTTTCAAATTTATAAAATCAGTTATAATCGTAGTATTCATTATTTTTAACAAGAGTTAAATTTAAATATTGGAACTTAATTCACTCCATCAAAATAAAAACTATAACTTTTCACATTTAAAAAAAAAAAATGAAAAAAAAAAAATTGCAATCTATCTACAAAACCTAAAAAACTAGTTAGCCTTGTTGCAAGCAATCCTCCATCAGCTTAGCCAAACATCCTTCTGATACTGGAACAACCGGAATTCCATCAGCTGACTCGTGGTCGGCCTCTTCTCCGCCTCACCGGAAAGACACGCCGCCACCACCTCCCTCAGCTCCTCCGGCATCTTCTTCATAGTCTATTTAATTAATAATTTTAAAATCATAGTCTATTTCAATTTCTCTTGCACTTTAATTTGTCGATTTTTCGTTGGTTTAAAATAATAATTAGAATTTGCCTTGAACATAAACTATATTAACCTCTACAAAATTACCTCAAAACATATTCAATCATAGATATTATGACACCACAGTTCTCAAAACACAAAAGCAATATAATTGAAAATATATTAATTAATTAATGTAACAAAAATTAAAATCAACAAAATATTGATTATTCTTGCAAGCCAGCCACATTACGTAGGGTCCACCCGATCCCATAAGCAGCAGCACCAGCAATCGCACCGTTGAAGAGCATAATACCCGCCGAAACGGCGTAGTTTTGACCCGCAATCTTCGCCTTCGCAATACCCAAAAACACCAGGGCTAATCCCGACATTACACACGCTCCGACGAACTTCATTTTGTCGCTATTCGTGAACGGAATCAGTACGATGAACGCCAGTATCGGAGCGCACCCGAAGAACAGAAACGCCGCGAACGTGACGAGACCGTTCTTCCACGGCTTCTCCGATTGGTCCGGCGTCAGAATCCCCTTCTCGGCGGCCATCTTTTCGCCGACGAGTATGTCCGGGTATCTCGCGAATATTCCGACGACCGCGGCGGCGTCGGTGGTGCTCATCCCGAGGGACTGGTACCGCCGGACTAAATCTTGTTGCTGATTTCTCCGGCAGTTTTCGACGTCCCATTCAGTGACGGATCTCTCCTTGGCGGCGACGTCTCTCTCGGTGCTCGTCGACATGAAATCTCCGAACCCCATCGAGATTCCGTCCGCCACTAGATTCGCAAATCCCAGCACCAGTACATCAACTGCATTAATACATATGAAACAATAATTAATTATTATTTTATTTTTTTTGGAAATCTCAAATATTATTCAAACTGTAGGGAATTGCAGGAAAGCTAACCGGAGGAAAGGCGGCCGGCGGAGATGGAAGAGATGAGAGAAAAAGAGGTGATGATAGCGTCGAGGCCGGCGTACACAATGCTCTTCACGAACTCACCTTTCCACGGCTCTTTCGGCCGTCCATTTTTTCCCATATCGCCGTTAATTAACGGCGGCAGCAACGGAACGACGTCGTCGTCTCCGGCCATTCTTGATTATTTCTCTACTTAATTATTCAGCTAATTTTCTTGAGAAAAAAAGAAATCGATTATTTGCAGTGGTAAAGTAAAGATTTTTTTGGGTGAAGAGAAGTGATTCGTGTCGGGATGCATGGTGGGGGAGTGACACGTGTCGAGAGCCCAGATGGTTCTGAGAAGTTTAAGGTGGTCAAAGATCAACGTCGGTACACGTGTGAACTTATAATGGGCCAATTTATGTATTAAGGGCTTGTGGATGGCACACGCTCCAATTAGTTAATCTTGGATATTATGTTGGGCTTTAAAGCCCAACACAAAAATTACGAAGGATTCTAACACCCACCTCGTACGCACCCACCTTGTACGCTATCTTATTTTTTATATTATTTTATTATTATATATATATATATATATATATATATATATATATATATATATATATACTGAAATGATTTGTGCAGGCACATATTAAACAGTCAGGCACATTTTTTACCATTCTTCAAAAAACAAAAAGTGAAAAAACTCAAAAACTCTCTCAACCTTTCTCTTTCGCAAAGCCCGTGCAAATCGTCAACAGATCGGAGGTAATTTTTACGTTTTTACGATCCTCTTATTATGTAGATTACGAATCCGAAAAAAAAAACGAAAAAAATCGGACTTTGCCCCCCCCGGTGGATTTACACGAGCGCATCCACTGCGCTCGTGTAAATCCACACGAGCAGGCCTTGTTAATTTTTTTTTTTTTTAATTGCTCGTGTAAAAACACATGAGCGGTTGCAAAGGGCTCGTGTGATTTCACACGAACGCTTTTCAACCGCTCGCGTGTTTTTACACGAGCATTTTTAATTTAATTTTTTTTTTATAATTTTTATTTTTGAATTATAAGATGCTCGTGCAAAAACATGCGAGCGTTTCAACAGTGCTCGTGTGAAATCAGATGAGCACTGTTGAAATGCTCGCATGTTTTTGCACGAGCACCACAATTTAATTTTTTTTTTTTAATTGTGTAGGAATAGTATAAAAGGTAAATAGTTATGGTAAAAAGGTAAAAAATTATGGTAAAAAAGTGCCTGAATGTTTAATTTGGCGTGCGTATATTATTACCCATATATATATATACAAGGACATACCAAACAAGTACATACTACTCTCTCTCGTTCGGTTGTTTTTCTTTTTTCTCATAGAGGTGCGATTTTTCTCTCCCTTTGCTTCAATTCTTTAATTCTTCCATAGATCTTATGATGCTCGAATTTGTTTTGTTTTTTTGTTTTTTTTTTAATTTTTTAATTTTTTAATTGAATTCAATTGAAATTATTGATTTATGCGGAGTACTTTGAATTCTAATTTCATCTTTGTTAAAAAAGATTGAAACTTGAAGAGGCAAAAGAAGAATTCTGGTATTAGCCTAATTTATAAACTTTTTAGGGCAACATGTTGAACTTCTCACAATTACCTATCCTAACCTATTATTTTATTAACTAAATAATAGGGATTTGTTTGATGTCTGATATCTCAACAACTTGTCGGATCGACCCTTAAATATATTATGCCTTTTAGTTAGGTTTTTTGTTGAATATCTATAAAATAATTGGATTATTCAATCTTATCTTGACAATGACAATGAAATATAGAGCAATGGATGGTCACAAAAGATTTTATACTGGGTTCGATTATACTGGGTTCGATTTTCTGCAACTGATCGACGAAGAACTATCCATCTATATCATGAGCTTCTTAGATGACCAGGCTGACCTAGTTCGTGCCGGTGCCGTGTCACGCTATTGGCGCCAATTTGGTAACCGATACTATTCCAAATTTTATTTTTTATTCGATTACGCAATTTGACCTAGTTCATTTTTTATTTTTTTTGTTGTTGTTTTAATTGATTACATATATGTATATTTCAGTTACTGCAAACGGACTTGCAAAACGGTTGCGCTTAAAAAAGATGCTGCAGTACTCGAAAGTTGCTGCCATATCGGATGCAAGTGGAAGGAAAAACAAGTTAGTGGAGCCCAAGGAGCGGGAGATTATCGAGAGGAATCAAAAGGTATATTCGTCTCTAATGGAAGCGGTCACTAAATCGAAGGTTACACCAAGGGATTGTATAGACCTTGCAATTAGTGCGTCGAGCACCAACGATTCGAAACGAAGTCGTGAGAATACTCTTGATCCAACGGATAGATACAATAGAGAAAATTGTTACTGGGGAAGCAAAGGACAGCGTAGTCGCGATGGACACGAGACTTTGATATATAAGTTAAAACCTGGCATCTTGGTTATTACTGAAATTGATATTCAACCGTTTCAAGGTATGATTTTTTTTTTTTTAACTTGATACGTATCTCGTGATTTTGGATAATAATATTTATTAGTAATAATTTCGCGTATTCAGATTTTTCACAGCGTGGCAGTCCCATATTCTCTGCGAAATCTGTACGGTTTCGAATAGGTCATATGAAAATCGGGGTAGAAGTTGACGAAGATATAAGTCGTCTGACGGGGAATTATCCTATTGATCACTGGTTTGCTTGGACTTACACTTCACCGGAATTTCCAATGATCCAGGTAATATTATATTATTAAAATCTTGATTTGATTTTGAAAAAGAAAAAAACAATCTCTTAAAAAATAATCTTGACAGGAGAATAGTTTGCAACCATTCAAGCTACCAGAACCCGTGCTTTGTTCGCGTGCATATTTGCAGATTGAGTTGATGGGTAGGGTTCAACAAAATCCAAATGGATTATACCATATATGGTAAGTTTACTTGCTAATTAAACAATTATTAAATATATGCTTAAAAAGAAACGAATGTTGATTTATTTCGATTTGTGCAGTGTGTGTTACGTACGAGTAATGGGAAGAACGCTCTCTCCTGCATTTGAGATAGAAATGGTTGAGCCAAATGGGAATACAGTGCTCAAGTATTACCCCGATAAACTCAACTCCGTTATGGAAAATGACGGCCCCGTTGTAAAAGGAATACATCCGTTCTGGTTAAGTGCAAGTGTGTTGTCTCCTCCTTCTCGTGAATTGGGTCCCACCGAATCTTTCATCAAAGGCTTTTCCAAGTACCTGCCCGGCAACTTCTATTTGTCGTCTTAAAACCATTTTTTTTGTAAATTACTCTATTAATTTATTCAGTAAGTATTCAACCCTAGATGCTTAATTACTGTTTATAATGCTATTCTTGACTCAAACATAGAGACAAATACATTTTCATAACATGATTGTAATGAGTGACACAAAGTAAACTGGGATTCTGCAAGTACCAAAAAAAATAAGAGAACATTAATTAAATTTTTTAGTACTTTCAGTTACATGATGAAACATTAATAATAATATACATCTAGATTGAACTATAAATAAATAAATAAATTTCAGACCTGTCATCTTCTTCACTTTCGTTCCTCGTCTGAGAATTCGAGTTCAAGGGCTTCTTCGAAGGTTTGTTACTATCAGGCAACATCTTTAACACAATCCCCATTGTTATTAGCAAAAGTCCAGTCCCGTGTTGTTCGGTCAAAGGTTTCGTAAATATCAAATACGACAGCAGTGAAGTCACCGCCTTCCTCGCTGTCGTCCCCTGTTTTTTTTTTTTCGAATTATTTTTTTTCAAGAATCAAAGTATCAAAACCCGAGTAGTGATTTATATAATTTCAAGATTCGATTTTTTTGGAAATTTATGAAACGAAACGTACCATAGCTGTGGTGACAGCACCAAACAGAGCAATTAGGGAAAGGGCCGATACTTGTCCGCCTTGAATATGATTTTTTCACTTAATTCTTGTTTTTTTTTTTTTCTTTTTAACTTGATACGTATCTCGTGGTTTCGGATAATAATATTTATAGTAATAATTTTGCGTGTTCAGATATTTCGAGGCTTGGCAGTCACATATTCTCTGCGAACTCTGTATGGTTTCGAATAGGTCATACGAAAACGGGGTAGAAGTTGACGAAGATATAAGTCGTCTGACGACAACTTATCCTATTGATCACCGGTTTGCAATGGACTTGCACTTCACCGGAATTTCCAATGATCCAATTACCCCGATAATCTCAACTCCGTTATGGAAAATGACGGCGCCGTTGTAAAAGGACTACATCCATTCCGGTTAAGTGTGAGCGTGTTGTCTCCTCCTCCTACAAAATTTAAGTTTTTAACAAATTATTTTCTCGATCTTTTGAAAACTTTTCCAAATTTTTTCATCTAAAGATTTCAAAATTTTGACAAATTATGAAAAAGAAATTCAAGAATCTACGTTTGAAAGTAACACTTACTAAATTTGAAAGCAATAATTATTGAAATGGATTCACATAATCCAGATACGGAGGTATATTTTGTGTTTATTTTCGAATTTACCAATTTTATTAACATTTCCCAATTATTGGCGTTACATGATTAACGGCAAATAGCTAACTGAAAATATGTATTATACTTGTCTTTTAGAACTTTACCCTAGAACTTTAATTTCATTAGGTGCTCTAGAAACTGACCAATGCAAATATTTATTATGTTTGTCTTTAGAATGTACCCTAGAATTTTAATTTCATTAGATGCTCTAGAAACTGAGCCCATGCGGTAGGATAAAATCAATCTTTATCATAGGAATACACTTATATTAGTATTGTCCTTACCCAAAATGTATTAGCCAGCGACACTGGAACAAACATGTATAAGAAGATTTCAAGACTCGCGTAACAAAAGATTAAAATGAGAGAGGAAGAGACACGAACTAAAACTTATGAAGAAAACTTATGAAGAGTCTTGCATAAAAAGATTTCGTACTCCATCACTTTAATAGCAGCCTCGTCTTTAGATTTCATACTCCATTACTCCGAGTCTTCAAGTAGACTGAATGTCCATAATTGAAATGTGGCGTATTTGGTGTTTAGATTTCATACTCCATTACTCTGAGTCTTCAAGTAGACTGAATGTCCTTAATTGAAATGTGGCGTATTTGGATTGCAATACTTTGGCCAAACCTTGGACACTGCGTTCACACAAATAATCTTAATTACTATTTTTTTCCGTTTTGTCTGATAGATTAAGTAATAGTAATTGCTTACCATGTATCAGCAAGCTAGAGCAAACAAAAGCCAATTATAAAATGAAATCTTTTAGAATATTTTTTTAATTTGGTCTTACACAAATGAAATTAGTATTAAAGCCAATTATAAAATGAAATCTTTTAGAATATTTCTTTAATTTGGCGTTACACAAATGAAATTAGTATTGCATATAGCCGCAGCCTTATATTATTATTGTCCTTAATCGAAATGTATTAGCCCATAGCCGGTAGGATTTTGATATTTGATTCAATTTTAAATTTCAAAAAGAATTCCATTTTTTCCCACTAAAATTGCATTTACAATATTAATATTATCATGCATTATTATATATTATAGATAAATAAGAAAATAGAAATGCTGCAATTTACAATCTTCCAATTTCGAAATCCAAACAGAGGTCCAAATTTAAACTTGGAACTCAAATCCTAAATTATGTTCAATCCCATTTAATTGTGTATATCATTAAAGCATCGATGAATTTATTTAGTAAATTGGGATTCTGCGTAGTCGACCAAAGAAGTAACAAAAAAAAATGTAACATCAGAGAAGATGGCGAAAAATGAAAACATTAATTAGTACTTTTGGTTACATGATGAAACATTACTAATAATATATATCTAGATTGAAATGTAAATAAATAAATTTCAGACCAAGGGTCTCGTTTCTTGTTCATCCTCGATCCGAAACCTGTCATCTTCTTCACTTTGAGATATATTTTCGTTGTTCGTCTGAGAATTCGAGTTCAAGGGCTTCTTCGAAGGTTTGTTACTATCAGGCAACATCTTTAACACAATCCCCATTGTTATTAGCAAAAGTCCAGTCCCGTGTTGTTCGGTCAAAGGTTTCGTAAATATCAAATACGACAGCAGTAAAGTCACCGCTTTCCTCGCTGTCGTCACCTGTTTTTTTTTTTTTTTTTTTTTTGAATTTTTTTTTCAAGAATCAAAGTATCAAAACCCGAATAGTGATTTATATAATTTCAAGATTCGATTTTTTTGGAAAATTATGAGACGAAACGTACCATAGCTGTGGTGGCAGCACCAAACAGTGCAATTAGGGAAAGGACCGATACTTGTCCGACAAAGGTGGCCATTGCTTCGAAAACAAGAACTCCATACACATAGGGATGCTACAATACAAACAAATATAATTCTTAATTTTTTTATTCTTTTTTTATCAAAAAAGAAAAGGGCTTTTTTGAGAGATAAATATATATATATATATATATACCCGAGAACATGAATTCCAAGCCTTGAATAGTTCTCCGGTAAATAGCATCGGTGGAATCAAGAATGGCATGCCCACCAATGTCGAGCAAAATAGCATTTCAGTCTGCAAAATAAATAAATAAATAAAAACCCAAAATTTAACTTTGAGTGCTTTAACAAACGAAAGTCGAAAGCACAAAAAAAGAAGAAAAAAAATCGTGTTTACGACACCTGTGTTGTTTGAGGATTCATAGTAAAGATGGCTTCTTGAAGATTCCCCAAAAAGGCATCCATAATCAACGCACCAGATACCATCACAACACCAACTCCACTAAAATTCGGCGAAGTTTGTGCATCCGCTAGGGTGAAAAGAATCAAACCGATCACCAAAAGAACAGCAGATACATATTCGTATGGCGGATACTTTCGTCTCAAACCCGGAATAAAAGCCCCCATTATCATCACAGGCAGAACCTAATTAATGCAACCGAAAAAAAATTGCAATTAGTTAGAGGAAAGGTAACCGATTACGAAAAAGGCGAAAATAACGGGATTTTCTTTCTTTTTTCATTTACCTTGGTGGATTTGAACATGAGCTGAGCTGGATAGTTGAGAAAGGCGAGTGAGCCTTTTGTGAGACCATTAGATCCCATTAGTACACCGGAGAGTTTTACGTAAGTTTTCCACGGATTCACCATTTGCTTTGTAGTGAATCCTTGGAGATAAATTAGGAGAATGTACACCCAACCTTGCACGAAGGTAAAGTACCATCCGTAGCTGCAATTTTTTACGAAAATTTCGTCAAATTATTCGGAACCGGATTTATTCGAGTGTGTTCGAGAAAGGTTTGAACAGAAGTTAATTGCATATGTAAAGAAGTTATGGGATTGAATTTGACCTGAATTGGAGTCTATTGTAGACATATTCCTGAAACAGATGAATGAATTAGTCAATTTATTAGTCAGTAATTTATGCATCAAACATTTCACCCTTTGGTTAAAATACTCTCTCTCTCTCTCTCTCTCTCTCTCTCTCTCTCTCTCTATCTCCTCTCTGCTCTCTCTCCTCTCTCACTCTCTCACACACACACAGAGAAATTGAAGGTAAACATCAAAGTTGAAAAAACAGAGAATTGAATTTGAATTGACAAAGAAATATTTGACCAAGGCAAACAAAAAACAAGCTTGACCCACCAAAACAAAAGATACCATAGGAATAAAGTCATCAATTAAATTCCCTAATTCCATAAACAAAAGTCAAGAAACTAAAACTCACCCTCTTAAATCACTTGAAACCAAAAAATAAATCATAAATTCGGAATCTTTTCAAAATAGTGCCCGGAGAGAGAGAGAGAGAGAGAGAGAGAGAGAGAGAGAGAGAGAGAGAGAGAGAGAGAGAGAATCTGGAATTACCTCGCAGACGCCATTAACGAGATAACCAAAGAAAAACCCAGATGAGCAAATGACGAATTGCTGCCACCTGGGCCGTCCACTCAGCGAGATTCCAAACAGCGTACGCGCCTGCTCGTCATTCTTCATTTGGAATTAATTTTCTGAAAAAAAAATTAAAAAAAAAAAAATTAAATAAAAAAGCTCCTTTCTTTTCAATCACAGAGAAATGGGTTTTGCATGTGGTTCAAAATCAAAGTATTTTCAGGGTTTGATTTCAAGGTGTATAGAGAGAGTGTTGACTTTTATGGAGTTACAGAAGGACCAAGAACAAAGGAGAGAAAAACGGTGGCGGATTAATGAATTTAAAGAAAACGTATCGGTTCCACTACGTCAACAGAGAAGAAAACAAAAAATAATTACTTTAAATTCATTCATCCGCATAATTTTTCATTTATATACACGCTTTTTTAGAGAGAGAAGCTGGTGAGTTTTTCTCAGTCTTTTAAGCAGCTTTTTGTGCACTGTGTAAGAGAGAGAAAAAGTAGAGAGAGAAAGTGATTATAAAAGGGGATTTTCATAATAAACAATAATTAATTAAAGGTATCGTAGCTAATTAGGCAAGTAAATAATTTTGAGATTAAAATATGATCTCCTGCAAGCGGCACCACTGCATGAACCGTGTGCCTGTGGGCCCCACCTAAGATTTTACCAAAGATGATTTCATGATGGGGGAGGGTGCATGTCACGTGAGAGTCTTTCATGTGGGAATTTATTTGACTTTTAAAGAAAATAGTTTATGCTATGTTTTTTGTCTAGTCTGGAAAAAAGTATGTGAATTTAATTTAATTTATTTTATAAATATTATAGAAGGATTTCATGGATATTTCATTATTTTTTGAATTGGATTGATGTGATCCAACGTTTTCATATGGGTCGCCCTTAATCAATCTTTTACCTTTATTTCATTTAATATTACCAAATTGATACATAATTATTTTCTATAAATACTCGAAATTGTGATTAGTTGCCATATAATTAAACAAGTTTTAAATAAATTCTCTAATTAACACCAATTTTGTCATAATTTTTTAAATGGGTATATATTTTATTATTTTTCCTAAATAAACTCTATATTTTGAATAATAAGAAATCATAAATTGAATTTAAGAAAAAAAACTAGGTAAATAATTAGTAATTACTTCTTGATTGCGGCACAATTTAGTGGACAAGGCAGGTGGCTAGCTTAAATGGAGGCATGGGGTTGTACTTTGTACTACAGTTCCCTCTCTTTTAATATTAATTTTAATTTTTTTAAAATATAATTTCTAAATAAGCTGTAATTACTAATTTGTGGAGGGACAAGTGAAATGTGCATAATTTTGCACGTGGGATTATTTTGTCCAAATAGGTGAAAAATCAAGAATTTTGATTGGTTCCAATGTGAAAATTTTAAAATATAATCATTATAATTTTAAATTAAAAAATAATAAAAAAAACACTAAAATTCTCTGAAACGATACTTAATTTGAAACGGATGAAAGTAGTCGAGTTTCGCGTGAATACTTAGGCTAAAATGAGTTGAAAATTAAATTGTAGACTTGTATATATTACACTTAACATTTGACCCATTTAGCATTAATGGGCTGTCAAGTATTAGATATGGGCCAACCCGGATCTACATGGGCCAAAATCAACCGAAAGGCCTTTCTTGATCATCTAATATGCGGCCCATATAATTTTGTTTGTACAAAATTAAATATACACTAAAATTGTTGTAAGAATATATAATATTACACTATTCGAATAATAACAAACTTATCTATATAATACTATTTTTTTGTTTTAAAGAATCAACAAGGGCTAAAAGCTCGCGCCTGTATGCTCGATCCGCCATTGATATACAAGTGTCCGTTTTCGATAATTAATTAGAAAAATCGATTATAAGCTCGTATACTAACTCTTCCCAAATCTCGATTTCCAATTCACTAGACACGATTTCTCGATCTTGTGTGAAATTCTTCCAACACACTCCTTTTTCGATATCCTTAACATAGGACTCTCTCTTGTCTTCCGTATTATCCCAATCGTATGACTCGTCGCATGTTTCTCCATTTACCCATGATTTTGCAACCCTCAAAACCTCGTCGTAATTAAATTTCACATTGTCATGATTCAAATAATTACCATGGTAATCTAGGTTTGAGATCTCATGCATGAAAAAATCCAATAGCATGACTTGTTCATTGTTGTCTTGGCTTTTGTTTATTAACTCCTTGTATTCTTCGACTTCTTGAAATGGAGAATCGAGAACTGAAATCGGGCTTTTCTGCTCGTATTCTTCAATTGAAAAATCCCCGACCTGCATTTCACAGGAAAAAAAAAGGCAAATATTTGTCATTTTAGATCTATCACGTGTATTAAGAAAATCAATAAATATGTATAAATTATATATAGCTAAATACATAAAAAGCGACTAAAATAGCGTACTAATTATCTTTCAATGAATTAAGAGCGATAAATGGCAATTTGAAAAAAAAAATGTGAATAATGCATAATTGACATTCTAAAGCGACAGATAATTTGGAACCGAAAAATTCTCTAAAATGATAAGCATTATATTATTATTTGTTAATATTATTTTAGGGAATTATTTATTATTGTTTTGGGTAAATAAATAATTTTTGGTGGGTATACCAGACTGTAAAAGGTAAAAAAAAAGGTATAGTACATATACCAACCGACAAAACGATGCATATTTAAATACAAATAAAAGTCAATTATTTGTATAAATTTATTATTTTCATAATCATTTAATTAATTATGCCACGTGGAAAAGGAAAAAAAAAATTTACCTTGGGACTCGTCAATGTTGTAGTTGTAAAACCAGCAGTAAAACATTTTTTACCCAAACACTCCCCATTTTCACCGCCCCACAGCTGTGATTCCTCCGCAGTAAAATCACTGTCGCACCAGCTAGACCTCTTGCTGCTTGAAGTGGTGGTGGTGGTGGCGGTGGCGGTGGCGGTGGTGGTGCTCCGGCTAGGAGATGAAGGGAAATCCCATGGCGAAGAGTTATCCTCCTCCGCCACATCCCTGAACGATCTCCACCGCAGAATGTCCTTGACTTTGACTTTGACTTTGACCTCCGGCGTCACATCTCCCAAAACGGCGCCGTTTTTGTCTTCCTTGCTCTTCTTGCTCATTTTTCTAGGTAAGAGCAACGGAGATTTCGCGGAGGCGAAGTGGAAGAGCTTGACAACGTTGATCACCTTGTGGATGGCGGCGGAGGTTCTGGTGGCGGCGGCGGCTTTTCTCGACCAGCTTCTGAGTAGTACGATGTGGCCGGGTTTGTTGGTTGACTTTTTCGAAGGAACCGCCGCCGCCGTTGACTTGCATGGTTTCCTCCTAGGGTACATTTGGAAGCCGCCATTACTCGACGACGACGACGATGAACATGAGTTGTGGTCACAATCATCTCTGATGAGATAATCTTTCAGCATCATCGGCCGGTTTTCGAGTTTCGCAGATTCTTGAAAAAATGTTAAGGCCATGTTTGGTTTCTTGAAATTTGAAAAAAAAAAAAAAAGTTGATGATAATAATTTGGTAGAGAGAGGAAAAGATTTATGTTTAGAGTGAGAGAGGAAAGTCACATATATTTGTAGGAGAGAAGAAACAATGTATATGTAAGAAAATGACAAACCACACGTAGAGACATTGATGCTTCCTCAACTAGGGTTTTTATTTATTTAATTTATAAAAAAAATATTAATTAAGGAATAATTATATTATTATAATAGTTTTGGGTTAATTGTGTGTTGAAGGATGTCGGAAAAGAAATATTATTTTTGTAATAAATTGGACGTATTTTAGTGTTGATTGGCATGAAACTCAAGGTTTTGTCACATGTAAAGAGGGACATGAAGTTTCTAGGTAGTTGCTGCATTATCAGATCAAAGATCAGTCTTTTTTTTTTTTAAATTTAATTGTTGTGGATTAACAGATAATTACAATATGTTTAAGGGCTGATTAGGTGTTTGTCGGGATGTTTAGTGAGAATTAGCCATTAGGGGACATGATTGGAGCAATTAATTAATTAATGGAAGTTAGATGTTCGAAATATAAGTAGTTAGTGATGGGGGCCGTACCCCCACCTTTTCAGAATAGTGGGCCGAAGGCCCAATGGGGTGAAGAGAGTATCGTGGGCTGATGAATCAAGATAGGGTAAGTGATCGCTCAATAGAAGTCATCACATGAGAGCTCGCCCGATTACATCTTTTGGCGGGCAAAGAAGTGACACTCTAAATTAAATAAACACCATAAATGACACTCTATATAAGCAAATGTAAAAACCCTATTAGGGTTATAGAAACACAAGCAATTAAACACTTCTCTCTCTCTTTTACCGATATTCTACCGTTTTGTTTTGTTCACGACTATTGGCCCAAAATTCCGCTAATAGGTGAATTTCCCGGTGTTCGAGTGAGTTGGATTGAATCATTATCATTTAAATGTAGCTTTTACCCTTTTACCCTTTTCTAATTATGTTTTATTTTTTTTGTTAACATAGCAAGATTACAAGATTGTGGTCAAGATTGAGGTGATTGATTATCTAAGTTTATGGTGATCCGATGAAGTATCAAACAAACACCGACAAATTTATAGATTTCAGTGATATCTTACTAGAAAAAAAAGAAATAAATGGAATAATTGCTTATGTCGATGAATTTAATTTAAACTTTGACTAAAATGTGTGGTTGAAGAGATGAAGAATGGGGGGCCTTATGGAGGTGTTGGAGAAAAAGTATGAATCAAATGCATGGACCTAATTAATAATTGAATTACATTTAATTTACATTCGTGCAATCAAATTTTCAATTGATTCGCCTATATGGGAAGATCAATTCTTTTAATTTCTTGTCCACTTGATTTCCCACAAATGGTCTTTGATTGCTACGTGGCGGGTGCCAGTTGGAGGGCTGCATGTGGTGTTGCCTAGGTTTTATTTTGGATGTCATCACAAATTAAATGGTATCCTATGTTAGTTTTGGTCGTGTATTCACGTCCCCCAAGTTCCAATGATTTTTGGTTGGTATTAAATTAAAGATGAAATGGTGCAATTTCTCCAAATATTACATGTGCACTAAGCGACAATTTGCTACACAACTTTCACTACTAACATATTTTCAAATCAGGATGGTCATACCAATTTGTTAAAAGACATCTATTCTTTTTAGATAAAATAATCCCAACCCATTCACCCTTTCTCGATTCTCCAATTATCTTCTATTTCAGATTCAACTATATCTTCAATGCACCATCATCGTCTTGCTCATCCCGCCACCGTCATCTTTAATCTACCACGTCATCTCCCTCTGTCATCGTCGTCGCCGTCTATTAAGAAACAATTATCAGACACACAGTGACACGCACACTCATGCACATGCACGGACACAAATTCACACACAACAATCGTTGGGAAAACATATATGCATTGTAAATGCACACTTGGAGGATATGAATGGTAGTTGTTGGTTCACTTTGATTAGCTACGTGATTTGAAAGAGATGTGATTGTGAATAGGTAAGTATTCCATAAAAGATGACCACTAAACATAACTAAACTCCATAACTAGACTCTCCTTATATGATAATACTCACTCTTAGCTCTCTAAATAAGCTATTCATTGTCGTCCTAAGCAATCTATATGTGCTACTGAGTACGTATATTCATATATACTATCAACAAGTGCAGGAAAGGGGTAAACTCGTCCGTTCAACGCCCATATTATCTAATTAAAGGGCTCCATGGACTATAAATAATACCAAAATCCAATTAGAGGATTTTTAACAAAATAAAATATTTTATATTCTATATTCGGTACCAAATATTAATATTTTCTAAGGACCTCGATCGAGCTAATAATCTATTGTAATAAACTAATAATGATGTATCCAATAGACTCGTAGCCTTATTGAATCGGGCCTGTTCATTTATTTAAAAAACAAATGCGGGTTTCAATTAGGCCCAAATATTAGAAAAAGCCCGTATCCATCAACAACGGTTACTTTCCTTACTTGTAATAAAAATAAAATAAAATAAAAATAAAAAGAAAAGGAAAAGGAGAGAGAGAGAGAGAGGAGGCCTCGGGGAGAGAGAAACAGAGTAAAAACGCTCCGTCTCTCCATTAAATTTTTAGTTTGCCATGATCGTTCGGTAATCGCTGGTTCTCTGTAAAAAGCCCATCTTTTTTCTCTCTCACTGCAATGGGCGTTGGAGGGCACTTTTGGGATTTGCTGAAACCCCATGCCAGTTTCGAAGGATTCGATTTCTTGAGGAACAAAAGGGTTGCGGTGGACTTGTCGTACTGGGTTGTCCAGCACGAGACCGCCATTAAAGGGCATGCTAGAAAACCTCACATCCGCCTCACCTTCTTCCGAACAGTCAATCTCTTCTCCAAGGTACAATTACTCTTCTACCCCTTGGTACAACCCTCTTATGCGCGTGTAAAGTTTTTACAATTTTCGAGCTCATTGTTTTTACTTGTATAGTGGAAAAAATGAATTTTGAATTTGTTAGGGTTTTCCATTTGCATTTTGTGAGCGGGAGCTGTATTAATTTCCAAGGAAACTTATGGAATGGTTTTAATCAGTCTAATACCCACGTGCCAATTTTTGGGTGTGACTTTTTTTTTTTTTTTTTTTTTATTGTGATGTTAAATTGGTAGTAATTGGTGTGAATTTCATAACATTGGGGCAAAAAAAATTTACAGTTTGGAGCATACCCAGTTTTCGTACTCGACGGCACTCCGTCGCCGCTAAAATCTCAGGCGAGGATAGCTCGGTTTTTCAGATCATCGGGTATTGAATTGTCAAGCTTCCCCGAGGCGGAAGAGGGTGTATCAGTTGAAAGGAACACAGCGTTTACGAAATGTATTCAAGAATGTGTGGTGAGCTGTCAATCCTTGTTCGATTCTCCAAATTTTAGGATAATTTAAGACGAGTCTCGTAATTCGTTGTGTTTGTCTACTTACGATAGGAATTGCTCGAACTACTTGGAATGCCTGTTCTAAAAGCGAAAGGGGAAGCCGAAGCACTTTGTGCGCAGTTAAACCGACAAGGGCACGTCGATGCTTGTATTACTTCTGACAGCGACGCGTTTCTTTACGGTGCCCGTTGTGTTATCAAGCGAATCCAACCCAACTCAAAAGTAAGTGGCTCTCGATATTTTCTTGATTTTGTCGTATTTTTTTTCTTTCTTTCTCAATGATATATATAATCATCGTAACTTGGTGCAGGAGCCATTCGAATGCTATAATATATCTGATATCGAGACTGGCCTCGGTCTCAAACGAAACCATTTAATAGCTATTTCTTTATTGGTCGGAAACGATCACGATTTAAATGGTATAACGGGAATTGGGATCGACACTGCAGTTCGTTTTGTCAAACATTTCAGCGAAAACGATGTACTCAACAGATTGCATGAAGTAGCCGGGGGGGACCCACTTGACATCCAACGAGATATCGTCGATCATGGGGTTAATTTCGTCTTTTCCGATGAAAAATCACCCAAACCGAAATTACCTCATTGTTCCCACTGTGGCCATCCAGGCAACAAGAAAGCCCATCTCAAGTTTCCGTGCGAAAACTGCAATTCGCCAGCTGGCGAGAGCTGCTTGAAGAAACCGGTGGGATTCAAATGTTTTTGTTCGTCGTGTGATTCGGTATTTACACAAACACTTCTTTTCTTATTCCTATGAATGAAAAAAAAAATCGTTTGGATTTTAAATTATTTATTTATTTATTTTTGGATGGCAGAACAGGAAAGAGAAAGCAAAGAAGAAAAACGCGACTTGGCAGATGGCAGTTTGTCGAAAGATTTCATCACAGAAGAATTTTCCAAACGATGAAATTATAAAAATGTACATGAGCAATAATCACGGGATTGGTATGTTGCAATTGCATTAATTTACGATTTCACCATTTGCATATTTACAGACGGACTATTTATTTATTATTTATTTTTTTTGGCAGATGATGAGATGCATATAAGATGGGAAATCCCGCGAACAGAAATGCTGGTTGATTACCTAACGTATCAGCAAAACTGGGAGCCATCTTATATTAGACAAAGATTACTTCCAATGCTGTCGACTATATATTTACGAGATATGCCCTCAGCTCCGACAGATAATAACTTGCTATACGGACAGTACGAGTTTCACAGTATTCAGCGTGTTAAAGTTAGATACGGGCACGAATCATATGTTGTCAGCTGGAAGAAAGCTTCTGCAGTTTCGAGTGGTGCAGTTCCTGAAGAAATTATTGCACGTGAAGATTGTGTTGAACTCGACGAATCTCTTGATTTGATCGAGGTGGAGAGTGAAGTTCCTTATGTTCATATTGATGAAGGGAGCTGTTTTTTGTCGACCGATGAAGATATTGAGCTCGTGAAAAAGGCTTTTCCAGAAAAGGCTAGCCAATTTATCAAAGGAAAGGTCAGAACACACTCTCTCTCTCTCTCTCTCTCTCTCTCTCTCTCTCTCTCTCTCTCTCTCTCTCTCTCTCTCACACACACACACACACACACACACACACAAACTAACGCAGTTGTGTATAATGTGATAGGAATTGAAAGACATGAAATCATGAAAGAGATGAAATCAAGAAAGAAGAAATCGAAGATGAGTTGTGAAGAAAAAACGGGATCATCACAGACGAGTATAACGGAGTTTTATCGTTCGACGAAAGGCGTTAAGGCTGAGGAGAATGTTGAGAAGACTAGTGTTGGTTCTTCTTCTTCTAAAGGCAAAAGGAATAGTTCGAGTTCGACATTTTCAAAGTCTGCGAGGCGCCGTCTTTTATTTGGTTAATTACTTAATTCAGTTTAAGCTCATTAGTCACACTCTGTAAATTCAATAGTTTTTTTTTTTTTTTTTTTTAATTAGCAATTTAATTTGCTGTAATTGGATAATAATACATGAAAGAATCTAAATAGCGTGCATGGTGGTGTAATTATTGACTTGTGCCATATGACATGCAATAACTAGAAATTAATGCAGAATCTTGGTTAGTAATCACGCGCTGTAACCTCACGGTTTGGTTTCTCTGTATTTCCATTTTTTTTCTTTGGGTAAATTACGGACAAAAAAAACCCTTCGTGTTTAGGTAATTACAATCACTCTTCAACTATGAATATTCTTACACGTCCACTAAGGAGTGGTGTCAAATTTAATAGAATATTCTAGATTATGTGAAATATTCTCCAGTTTGTATCCATTTTACCCTATTCGAACTTCACATTTTAAAACAAGATAATCATAAAATGTGTCTCTTGACTCATAAATATCAGATTGTGGTGCAACAAAAACTGCATTTTTGCACAAAACGAGTACAAACTAGACAACATTCCACGGAATCTAGAAGATTCCATTGAATTTGATATCATAAGAATGGATGCGTAAGAAAAGACTCATAGTTGAGGGGATGATTGTAATTATCCAAACATTAGGGGTTTTTTCGTAATTTGACCTTACCTCAGGAGGTGGCTGTAATTTATTACCCTATATAAAATCATATACAGAATGGGTTATTTCTAATATAAACCATTCTCTATTTATATATACACAAAAGGTATAAGTCATTTACACTCTCTCTCTCTCTCTCTCTCTCTCTCTCTCTCTCTCTCTCTCTCTCTCTCTCTCTCTCTCTCTTGATTGTTTATTATTTGTGACATCTTAAGTGAGAGTTAGAATCTATGGGAACCAAAGGAATATGTATCCTAGTTGTGAATGATGATATTACATGCAAGAACATTGTGTCTGAGATGCTCCAACACTGCAATTTTCAAGGTATCTTTTCTTTTTCTTCTTTTTTCTTCTCTTTTTATCTAATTTTTTATTAAATTTTTAATTTTTAATTTTCTTCTTTAAATTAGTATTGCATATTGGAGGTGTATTGGATGTTGTAAATGCAATATGGGAGGCAAAACAAACACTTGACCTTGTCCTAACAAATGCTCACAAGTTAGAATCAAATGATGGCTCTGTAATTGTGCAACACATTCAGAAGAAACTCAATCTTCCAATCATATGTAAGTATAAATATTATTAATTCTTACAAATTAATCATTAAAAAAAACATGACAAATGATTAATTAATTATTTATTTTGCTACACTTGCAGTGATGTGTTCCGATAAGAAGAAGATAGCGCCGAAAGGCGGCCAACAGCTTAGTTTCGCTGCGTACGATTTAAAGGGTTTGAGCAGAAACGACGTTAATGATCTTTGGCAATTTGCGTTAGAGAAAGAGAAAAATAAAATGGTGGGAAATTTCGAAGAAGATGAAGAAAATGTCGAAACGAACAAGACTTGTTCGCCTATCGATGAAGCAGTGAAAAAACGGATAAACGAGAAAGATGATGTCAGCGAAGATGAAACCCCTGTCGCAAAGAAACCGAGGGTCGTTTGGACTATTGAAATGCATCAAAAATTCCTTGAAGCTATTGAGTTTTTAGGATATGAGAGTAAGATCATGTTTCTTTTTATTAAAATTGAATTATTGTTAATATTTTTTTTTTTAATTTAAATATTTTTGGTGGCAAACAGAGGCGGTTCCGAAGAAAATCGTCGAAGTTATGGGTGTTCCGGGGCTTACTAGAGAGAATGTTGCTAGCCATTTACAGGTTTTTTATTTAGTTAAATTAAAATAAAGATATATTTGTTTTAAAATATTTAAACAAATAAGAAAATAATGTTTTGGAATTTAAAAAAAAAAAAAAGGAAATGGAAGAAGAGCATGAACTAGAAAATCTGCATATTTAATGTTGGAGTTTTATTTAAACCATTAAGGAAAGAGATTTCATCGGAAAAAAATCGAAATTGAATATAAATCGAAAATCTCCGAATCTTTTGCAATAATGATTATAATTAATACTAATACCATTGTGCAGAAATTTCGGGGCGGAATGAAACGAGCTCAAGAAACGGCCCTCGGTTCACTTGCTGTAAGAAACGAATTCAAGAGCTTATGTGATAATATGCAGTCGACTTCTTCATCAAGCCTCGATTATTGGAATACGGATCTGATCGAACCTAATTTACATCGAAGTTCGTATAATTTTTCTTCTAGCAGAAAAAATTACACGTACCGAATTGGAGTTGACAATTTGCAGCAGCAAAACTACCGCCCTGATAAGCTGCATTTGTCTCGTAACTTCAGAATATACGGGGATCAAATGAGAAACGTGCTCCTAAGCGTAACCGCAGACGGTATGGGCAATAGTGAAAATCGGTCTGGCGTTAGCAAATTCGTCGGATACAGATTGGCTAGTGACGGAAACTCCATCGATTTCGGACAAAAACTCGAACGTTCGGACAACACCGCCGAAGATGCTGTTCTGTTCAAGAATATTATATCCGAAAACGACGATAAAGATTCTTCGAACATGCAGTCTACGAATAACGATATTTTGGGCCATAACGAACCGTTAATATTCCCATGCGAACAAGATTTTTCGACGAATTCGACGGCATTTTCGGAGGGAGGAATTGTTACAGAACCATATCATTGTTCTTCATCGCCATTGCCAGAGATTCTACATTGTTTTGATGATTTTGTTGATCAAGGGGGGATTATTGATGATGATCTGCTTACAGGAACAGAAGCCACGTGTCATGAATTTGATTGGTCAGAATTTGATGATGCCCTCTTTAAGAATGATGATTAGCCAATAGCCATCCACCAAGCAAGCATGTGAATATAATAGTATTTTTTTTTCTTGCAAATTTATTTGATTGGATTGTAGTATTAGTATCATTTAGAAATTTATTAGAGTAGGTTTGCTTTGGAGTCGAGTCGAGTCGAACGCACAGTTGCTCAAGCTTGTTTGATTTTTATCAAGTTTCCGAAATTATATTTAAGCTTGGTTTGATAATCAATCAATTACATTGAGCTTGAATGAACTTTAATTGAACCAAACACTAACCGTGTTTTGAAATTGAGCTCAAGTTCGATCCGAGAGTTTCAGAGATTATCAAATAAAAAAAAGTGTTCAAAATCGGCTCGTTATAAAAATAAACAGAGTTTCAGTGAGCTTTTAACGAACTATCTTGAATCGAATTTTTATTTTTTAAGCTAAATAATGATTTTTTTTTTTTCAATATTAGTAGTGTACACACACTTCACTTTATAGGCCAAAAATAAGGGTAAATTACAATAACCCCTCCGAGGTAAGATCTATTTACAAAACCCCCTTAATTTTTACATAATTACACCCACCCCTGCTATTTTAAATTTCTTACATTAACGCCCTTGTTGTGGATGTAAGAAATTCAATTTGCTACAGTTTGTGAGACACCATAACTACAATGAACAGCCTCTTACATTCCGCCCCTCCAGCATTTCCAATTACCCACATCAGAGCCTCAACTTCGCCGCCGGCGCACGATAGCCTCGCCGCCGCGTCCGCCGGCAAACCCCCGAGAACACCCTCCCGCAAATTATCCGCCAGCACAACCTCCAAAAGGAAACCCAAAGTCCAAGAAGATGATTACCGTTCTACCCTCGAAGCCCTCAATTCCAAAGGCCGGTTTCCCAGAAAATCCCTCGGCCAGGTACCAAATTGCGCTCTTTAATTTCAATAAAAATGGCTTCTTTATCCATTTTCTTGAATTGGGTTTTTTCTTTTTTTTTTTAATTTATTTTTTATTAGCACTATATGTTGGATGGTTCAGTAAATGATGAGCTGGTTGCGGCGGCAAACGTGAAAGAAGGCGATACGGTGCTCGAAATCGGACCGGGCACCGGTTCTTTGACTAATGTAATAGTCAACGCCGGTGCTACTGTTCTTGCTATTGAAAAGGTCTTACATTTTATTTTTACATAAATTTGCTGTCATAATTTTGTCAGCCTTAATTGAGCTCAGAAGGTAGCTTGTTTTGATTTTCTTTTGATGGTCGAATTTTTCACGATTTCACCGTTGCTGTTCTCTATCATGTGCATCTAATTATGTTATATACTGTATAACCTCGATAAATTAATAACCTTGATTAGATAATAGTTTCTCTCGGTCCGGACTCGGTGAAAACGTGTTAAATTATTAACTCGATAATTTAATAATTCGCTAAATTAATAGAATTTCCCTAATCCCGACTGTATTAATTTATAGAAGTTTAACTGTACCTATTTTCGGTAACTAAATAAAGAAGGTCGGATTCGAAACGAGCTTCGAACTCAGATGTTAATCTTGCGATTACATTTTGCTGTATATAATTTTCAGGACCCGTATATGGCAGCACTAGTGAGAGAACGCTTTGCCGGATTAGGATGCGTGGAGGTACTGCTTTACCTCTATCAAAATTATCGGCACATGATATATATATTTTTCTGCTTGCATTTCCCCCGATAATTCGATTGACTGAAGTAACGTAATATCGTTTTTTAACATATAGGTTCTGGAAAAGGATTTTACAAGATTCGATTTATGCGCACATATGTCGTCGATATTGCCTAAAGAAACCCCTACCGATGGAAATTCGTCCCTTGCAAAGGTTAGTAGTGTGCTATCGTCTATCGACAACTAGGGTTCGTTTTTTATATCTCGATTTTTTTTTGTCGGTCAGGTGGTTGCGAACATACCTTTCAACATAAGTACTGATGTGGTGAAACAACTTCTTCCAATGGGAGACGTTTTCTCCGAAGTTGTTCTTTTACTTCAGGTGTGCAATTTCGTAATCCATCCGAAATTACAATTTTGCCTCCCAAAATAATAGTACCTATTCGTGTCGAATAAATTTGGCAGTCGTACCATCTGTATATAACTTATTTGCTGACATGGAAATTACAGGATGAAGCGGCATTGCGATTGGTCGGTTCTTCTTTAGATTCATCGGATTATCGGCCCATCAATATTTTTGTGAATTTCTATTCAGGTGAAAATAATTATTGTTTGTTCATATATTAACCTGGAAATTTTCCCTCGGGAGTTAATTTATTACTCGTCAGATCCCGAATACAAAATTAAGGTTTCAAGAACAAGCTTCTTCCCCCAACCTAAAGTAAGTCGTTCGTTATACGTACATGCTTAAAAATACATATAATTTTTTCAAGTAATTCGTTTTAATCCTTAATAACGAGCTTACACTCTTCACTTACCTGGTAATTTTCCGTTTATTGTTAGGTCGATGCAGCTATTGTTTCGTTCAAACTAAAGCAAACGGTTGATTATCCTCGTGTTTCCTCCATTAAAAGCTTCTTCTCGATGGTAATTAAGTTGTCCGTGAATTTTTAACCACAACTATTAGTGCTTTATCATGCCAACTTATTTATTTATTTATTATTATTATTATTATTATTATTATTATTAGGTAAATTCTGCATTTAACGGGAAACGTAAAATGTTGAGGAAATCGCTACAGCATATATGTTCTCCATCGGATATTGAATCAGCTCTATGTGCTGCTGATCTTCTTCCCACTGTAAGCTTCGATTTCCGAGCCTCGTTTTTTTTTAAATTTATTATTCACTTCTTTTGAATTGTTTTTTACAGTCGAGACCGGAAGAACTCACATTAGAAGATTTTGTAAGATTGCACAACCTGTTAGTGAAGATATAGCTGATAAATCGGTATCTTTTGTACTATACCGAGCGAAGTACACTGAGTATGTAGATTCGAATAGTACTATTGCCTTAAACTTGTTCGTAATTATCGAGACACATTCATTCCGGGATGTACATGCAGTTTTGTTTACTTATTACATTCATAATCTTGATGGTTCTGTAAATTGGCGGAGTTCGATTCGGGAACTTTCGATTTTGGAATATAGGGTTTCATTTTGAATTTCGAAAAATTTCAGTTTTGGTATTTTTGTTTATCTTTTTTGTTTCTTCAAATGGATTTAAAGAAACAAATCTGCAATAATTAATAGAAATTATGTATTTGCTAATTATTATTAATTATCAAAAGAAATTGCTAATTATTGTTTTTTAATCGGAATCAATTAAAATTGAAAACAGATATTTTTCAGGCATGGAACTGATAAATTAGATCAAGAGATCTCAACCTAGCCCGAATAGGATCAAAATCCGCCGCCGCAGCACCGCCGCCTATCACGCCCTTATTCACATAGCTCCGTCGCTGCTCCGCCGCCACCGCCGAAGAAGGCGAGAGCCGCCTCTTCGGCCTTTTGTTCTGTATAAAGCATTCCCTCATCCTCCCCTCGACCTTCTCAACAGTAGTAGCGTCCCTCGAGTTCTGCTCTTCCTCTTCTCCGTCGCCCATCTGCATTGGCTCGCCGCCGCCGCCCACGGCTGACGAAACCGAGTTTTCAGGCCGTGCGATTGGGAACGCGGTGTGCTGCGGCGGCGGCGGAAGTTGTCCACCGGTGAGGAATTGAGAGAGACGGTGGTTCGCCGAACGGAGGGCGGATTGAATTTGGAAGAGCTGCGATGGATCCGCGGTGGTCGGGATTTGCTTCGCCATTAGGGTTGCCTGCTCCAAAGCGGCGACCAAATCTCCGGCTACAGCTGACGTGTCCATTTCCACCTCCATTGCGTGTGTTTGGTGTCACGATATTTACTGTTTCTCCATATATATTTCAAGAGAAGAGCTCAAAAAACGCGTTTACAACGAGTCTCATTTAATTATTTTTTTTTTCATGATTTTATTTCATTAAGAAGTTGTAAAAATGGGATAATTTGCATTGGACAAAGCTTTTCACAAACACAAAGAAAAACCATAACATTTACAAATGGAGAAAATTTCGACAATTTCGATCATACAAACATTACAAAAAAAAAAAGAAAAAAAGAAAACGAGGCTAAGCTTTCAACATCCTTAAATAATCGTCGATTATGGACATGGCAGACGAACGATAACTGGAACCGAATAAATTGTAATGATTCAAATAGTGATACAGCAAGTACAAATCCCTCCTTTCCTCCAAACCATCTTGTTTTGGCATCACCTGATTTACGAAAATACCCCCGAATCTTAATTTCAAAAAAAATGTACATTATTTTATGCAAGAATTAAAAAAAAAAAGAGAGAGAGAATTAATTTAGGTTACCTCAAAGTATGCAGTGTAGAATGATCCTCCGAATCCAGCACACCACGACATTCCAAATTCCGCCTCGTTATGCCCGTCTATAATGACATATGCACGTATTTGTTTCGAGATTTTTCGAGTTTTTTTTATATGCATTATTATTATTATTATTATTATTATTATTATTATTATTATTATTATTATTATTATTATTATTATTATTATTATTATTATTATTATTATTATTATTTTTTCATTCCTATTATTTAAAAAAAAAAAAAGATATCTTACAGTAACAAGCAGGGTCGAGTATGACAGGTTCGCCGGTTTTGTCTGAACTGATATTCCCACTCCATAAATCTCCGTGTAATAAGCAAGGCTCGATTACGGCACCATCGAATAAAGGTGCCATGTTTTTCACAAGCCTTTGTCCTTAACAATACAAGTACATATAATTGGTAAAACTTCGTAATTAACACGAACACGAAACATATTAAGATTAACTAGAATCGTCGATCTCGAAAAAACTACCACATAGTTCGTTAAGTTTCTTTAGAAAGATAGACATTGATTACTAAATAAAGGGTATTTATAGCTCTCGTAAATCATAAACATTCCGTTACCGATTTAAAAAAAAATAAAAAATAAATAAAAATTACCTTTTTCGTAAATTAAGGAATCGCCATATTGTTGTTTTACCAACTCCAATTGATAGCCTAACCTGTGCACTCCATAAAACTCGATCCAATCTGATGTCCACGTGTTTATCTGTGGAGTACTGCAACAGGAACATTATCGAGACGAAATCATCTAAGGCCTCGTTTGGTCGGTAAGATAACCTATGATTAATTAAATATATTTCCGTGCTTTTAAAAGATACCTTCCAATTGTGTTATCAACGTCGAAACCAAAGCCGTTTACCGATTTTCCAGCTTTATGCATCTCAGCTAGCTTCCGTCCTAGTGCCGACTAAGAAAAACTGGTGAAAAAGTCAAAATCGCTAAACGGGAAATATAACATAACCGAAATAAATTTACGGAAAAAAATAGAAGATTTAGGGTCCTCACTTGACTCCCCCTCGATGCACCAAATTCGATAAATTCCATTATTATGTACGAGCCACCTGTCGGTAAAGGTCCAACCTTTTCACAAGCAAAAAAAACATTCACTTACCTTAAACGAAAGCTACATCAAGAAAAAAAAAATGAAAAATGAAAAAAAAAAGGACATAATTTGCTAACCTTAAACGGTTTAGGAACGCGTATGGATCGAGTTTCGAACATGGCATTAAGGCCTAAAGCCTCTCCCTCAAACATCGACTCTCCAATACTCCTATTAACACTTTTTATTAATTAAACTCATTTGCCGGAAAATCGTTCAACGAGTTTCGTAATCGAAATGCATATATATAAAATCTTTAAACAAAACTATTTGTACCTATTTGTTTTGACGAAAAACGAGTCGATATCAGTGTCGTAACGACTAGCGCGATTAATGCAACCGCCGCCGATCGGACGAATGCCGGTTATTTTATTCGCCTTTCCTTCGGTTAGGATCCATTCTCGAACCGTATCTTCGCTCATTGAGGCCACTATTAATTTGCAATTTTTTTATTTAGAATTTTTTTTTTTTACAAGATTTAAATGTACAAGTATCAATGGGATAACTGAAATAGGGTAGAAATTTACAAGTTTTTTTTGTAATAAACAGACAGTAACCTTAAAATCTCAGAAAATAAACTGAATTTCAATTTTCAACAGTAAACTGAATTTCAAAGAGAGAAGAGTCTATTCGTTCAATATTAGCACTTACTAGAAAGGGGTTTGAATTTGTTGACTGGAAATCGGAGACAAGGCGGCGGCGGCGGCGGAGAAAGAGAGGGAATGCGGGCGGAGAAGGAGAGGAGTCCGACGTCTGCCGCCACCATTTTCTTAGCTCCTCCGGAACCAAGAAAATCTCTCAGCTGTTTCTCTTCTGCTTTTTTATTGGCTCATTATTTATCAATATATATATAATATAAAATATTTTACACCGCATGAATTTTCGGAAATTATTTTTTATAATTTATTTAAATGATTTTATATATAAGATAAAAAAATTATAAATTATTTAATGAGTTTCATTATCGTATAATCTAAATATTTCAATTTTTAACATCTTATAAAATTTAAGAGCTAATAAAACTCTTTGGGAAAATTCTAGTTTTCACCCCTCAGATTTGAACCGATTTCACATTCGGTCCCAATGTTCATAAAAAACACATTTTATCCCCCGTGTTTCAAAAATTGAACACTTTTAGTCCTTTTCGTGACTTCTTCAATTCTCTATTAGTACTAACGGCGTCAAGCATGTACCCCTCACCGCCTTAACTGACGGACTAACAGTAAAATGACGAAAATGACCAAAAGTGTGAAATTATTGAAACTCGAGAGACCAAAAGGGGTTTTTTGTGAACATAAGGGACCAAATATGAAATTGATGCAAACTTGAGGGGTGAAAACTATAATTTTTCCAAAATTCTTTAACTAAGTTTAGCCAATTCTAGCTCCATTTAGGACACATTTGTTCAACAACCAACTATACATTTGCAGAAGCACACAAGTTTAAAAAGCCTTGACCCGAAAAATCACCGTCGTCAAGAAAAATTCCGATGTTCAAATAATCTTCATAATCATCGTAAGATAGATCCCATCCAAATTCTACATAAAAAAACCAACAAATTGATGCAAGGAAAAAAAGAAAAACCGCAATCCGCGCGTATTTCATATACGTATGTATGTACCACCGTCTACGATCCCTTCTTCATGACGAAATTCAAACTTTAAAAAGAAAAAATATCGATCCTCTTACTCTAAATCACTACAAGCAAAATAAAAAATAAAAATTACGAAAAAGAAAAAATTTAAGAGGGTAATTTCTATCATTATGATGACCTTCTTAACGGTGATTCTCTGTAAATAGCAGACTCGATTTCAACGGAAATTGAATCAACGTGAACTTGATTGCTTTCGTTAGCCTCTACGTGTGAAGAAATAGGGAGAAGCCATTGTTGAGAATGCTCGATTCTGATTTCCGAGCTATCAAAAGACCGAAGTGTAGAAAGTGATGCTGATTGCGCGTTTTTCGTTTCGACCGAGGTTTGTAGCGAAAGACGGCAAACCGGACAGGTGGACTGTTTCCTAAGCCAAATATCGATGCAAGAGAGATGAAAACTGTGTCCGCATATCGGCATTATTCTCAGCGTTTCTCTCTCTTCGTACTCTGACAAACATATGCTACATCTGCATTTTCGAACCGGAAAAAACAAAAACGAATTATATTCATAAATTATTGGCGTAAATTCTTTAATTTTGATGGGAAATAAGTTCGTGTTTAGACTCACTGTGCGTCTTCCATTGAACTAAATGCTTCGCGGTGGAACTTCATTGTAGGAATTGCAGCTACTACAACTGGTTCGAGACCGTTAATAACATTCTCCGGCTGCCCGAAAAAAGTACAAAAAACAAAATTAAAAATAAAAAAACTCTGTTATGATCAACTCTAAAACCGACTTTCAAGAAAGCTGTTTAATTGTGGAACTTCAAAGACTACATTTTTCACGGTTCGTTTCGATCAATATTTCATCGTGATCGAGCTTCTTAGACCATGTGTTATCCGTAAATAAATTCTATCGAACACGGACTTTACGAATACATACATATATATATATATATATAGACGAACAAATCGGGATATATGTAATATCTAAGCAACTAGTAAGGAAAAACAGAGACATGTATATGATAAAACTACCGTTCAATCGAAAAACTCGAGCAAAAACGAAAACCGAAAAAAGGCCGATAAAACATACCAGCTCAAGATCAATTCTTGAGTTGATATCCAACATTTGCTGCTGAGCTTCGATTCGACGGAGCCTCCCACAAATAAGCCTAGTGCAGACGAATACGATGAAAGTTGCACTCATAGCAAATCCGATTATTGTTGTAATAAGATTCATTTCTGATCCTAACATATCATATCTCAGTTTCTACTATTTCTTCAAAAATCCCAGTTCACTAATTTGTAAATAAACCAAAAAAATAAAAAAAATAAAAAAATCCCAGATCAAGATTCTTCATTACTATGAAAAGTCAACCATTGAGCAAGAAAAAACCAAGATTCAAATAAACATCACATGAGCAAATCTAACAGTGAAAAGGGTCAACAAAAAACACACAAACACACACACAAGTGGGAAGATCTAGAAGATTTACAAGAACCAAAGAACAAGAAAAATGGTGGAATAGCAAATAAAAATGGGATCTTTATTTCTCCAAATTTGTGTTGTGGGAGTTGCATTTTCAGTAGGGTGGGTCCATTTTTTTTATGGTGGGACCCACGTTATTGATTGATGAGAGGGAAGTTTTTTTGGAATTTGGCGGCTGAAGGGCAAAATGAAAAACTTCCAACTGTAATGTAATAAGACCTTATTGATAGATTCTTGTACGTTGCCTTATTTTACTAAATTTGTGTAAAAGTTCCCTTTTTTATGTGTCCCTCTTTTGATTTGATTTTTCTAGGGCTTTTCTCCTTTCTTGAAATAAAATTTTAGGATTGTGAAATCTTGGATTTGTTTATTATATTTATTTATCTAATCGATCTATTTATTAAATCTAAAAACCAACATTACCTCAAAAATAAAAATTATGGAAAAACCAACATTACCTCAAAAAAAAAAAAATCGAAAAACCAACATATTTAAAGCGGGCCAAAAGTGGGTCGAAAGTGGGCCGATAAAATCGAACCATGTCCATCCCTATATTGAATAATTGAGTTATAATTATTTTATATTTATTATTTTTTTGTTGGGCTTTTAGGGTTATTTTTCTGGACCCAATCCAGATTGTGGGCTATATCTTTGTTTAAATGAGCTTTGCGGATTTAACCAATTAACAATACACGACTAGGTGTGTAAATCAGACGGAATGAGTCGGAAATGACTTTTTTGGAAAAAAAAATCGGAAGTGAAAAATGGGTTCTAATAAATATTATAGTTTTTGGTTTTGTTGTTATATAAAATTATAAAATTTGGTTTAATGAAATTAATAGAATAATTAGCAAACTAAAAAATGAAGTTGGTTTACTGTTCACATGTATGTAATTTTACACCCCTAGTAAAAATATAAATTAATCCAGCTGGATTAAACTAAAATTTACTGTATTTTGGAAGGTATGAAATTAACAAAGGGACTCAAATATTAACTGCAGCTGTTAATATTCTCTGCATGTTTTTCAGTCTCAGATATTGCAGAGATTATTTTAATTAACCTTTTGTTTTATGGTAATTGGTGGAATATTATACTGTACGATGATGCTACAGTTACTTAGCATAAGCACAAAACAATTTGTCTAGTCTTTTGTTTTTTTTTTTTACTTTTAAGCTACTGTCAATTTTTAACATGGATTATTACATAGTTAAATGTGAATCCTATGGCATGAATTTAGTGGTGTAAATCGAACGGATCGAAACTAGCCGGTTCGAAAAAAAATCGATTTTCTTTTTAAAAATAATCGGAAAAAATCAGAAGTCGGAAATCGGAATGAAAAAACTTATTCCAAAATCTGATTATTATTTTTTTTTTTCTGACCGTTCTGATTTTTTATTTTTTTTTGAATTTTCGGAATTTTTTCCGAAACTTATTGGATTGGAAATTGGAATTTTATATATATTTCAGTTTCGATCCAAATAATTTCGGAAATATCGGAAGTCGGAATTCGGATTGAAAAATATTGTTCAATTTCAGATCGGAATTGCCGGAAATCGCAAATTTCGTTCCAATTTCCACCCATAGGTCGTTTTTTACAATGAACTTATATCAAATTGAACTACATATTTGATGCATGATCACTTAGTAAAATAACTCGAATAATTGATGAGGAATGAAGGTACTACGTCACAAAAAATATGTCAACATTGATATTGGCTCACTAGTGACATATAAAATTTTTGTAAATATTTAAATAAAAATTAAATCACATACATGATACATCTCAAATAAAGATAGTGAAATATGTTTATAAATGAGGAATAGTGATTCTTAATTTGTACAAATTTGACGCCGAACAATATTTTCTGCATGTTTGGGCTAGATTGAGGCTCGTCGATCTGATCAACTTGGCCCAATTGATTTGAATCTTGTTGGGCTTTAGAGCCTTCAAATTTAACGTAAAAGTCTGTAACAAAAAAATTGCAGAGCCTCAATCGAACCTCAACATGAATCTATATTTAACATTTTTCAAATGGTTTTAGAGTTGATTGAATTTGAAACTCAATTCCCCATTATTGTTATCTATTGAGTCAATTATTGTTTATTTTACTAATAATTCAATTATTATTTTTTTAAAGCTAGACAAATTGCCAATACCTCCAAGAATTAATTTTTTGACCCTTTTTTAATTAATTATTTTTATTTAATTCATGATAGTGACCAAGTCATTTTGTTTAAAACTATGAAATCATCGATCTTCATAAGCTTGTGCATTGCAAGAGAACACTGATTTCCTGACAAAATTTTACTCGAGACAAAACGAATAATAAGTGAATTTATCGCCACAAAATTTACGAGATTTCCTTTATTTTTCAAATTTGTTGGAAAATTTTAATTAAAACCGATACTTCAATTGATCTGTAGCATGTGGAGAGAATTGGAACGGAATTTCCGATTTCACATTCTTCGATTTGAATACTTTTGAACAAGTTCTGAAAACAATTCCAAAAAAATTCAAACGTTTTCGATTTCAGAACAAGTTTTTTTATTCCGATTTTTAAGTTTTGATTTCCGATTTCCAATAATTTAAATCAAAAAATATTAGTTTTCAATTTTTTTTGCTAATATCTAATTATCTACTAAGTGACAAAATCTGTCTGTTCATCAAACAGAGGAATGAGAATGTAAGGAATCCAAAGCTACCATTTTTTTTTGAATGAGCAAAATATATTTGGAGAAACTGGACAAAATTCTTCTTTCAATAATCTACTTCTTAATCATCTAATTAATTAATCGATAATTGCGTTTGGATCAAACGGAAACGAACATTAGAAACGACACGGTACGTTGCATTTGATCCCCACATAAATCATTCCATCTACAATAGCAAAAATCCAATTTTTGTGCTAACCCCACATTCAAATATACTAATCTTGATTTTTAAGTTTTTAACCCTCCCGTAATTTAAAATTCGAAAAATTAACGTTCCAAATCCGCTCTTCATTAGCATAAAATTACTAAATTAAGTTGCCTTGGTGTTTGTCTGCATCCTACTGATGTTATCCTTAATTAGTTTAATATATTCGGCTTTCCCTAGTTAAATCGTTCGCTCGTATTTAGTTACTATTGGTACTCAGTAAAAATATAGTTCGACCGAATCCTAAAAATGACCTATTGAACTTATGAATCAAATGCATACCGTATTTTTTGAAATTGTGTAAATCGTTCCAATCCTATGAATCGAATCAAAAATTGTACGAATCGAGTCGTAAATCGCACATTTATTTATTTATTTTATGATTTATTCAATGACTTGAATCGAGCACGTTACAAATCAAATGAACCCAATCGTACAATTTGAATCGTAAATCGAATTGTTTTAATCATGTACGTTGGCAGCCAACTACCCACAACACCTGTGTGTGTGTGTTTTATTTATTTTTATTTTATAATAGAGTTTCAACTAGCTACGCATATGCAAGTTGATTTGAGTTTGGGATTAAATTAATCAACTTTTCAAGAATTACACTTATGCCCTTGCCCTTGGAAACTAATCATTAATCAACTTATATAAATAGAGTCACACATTTATATAGCTGTTTCTCATGTGCAACTTCACATGCAAAAACACACACACACACACAACACACACAAAACGAACTCGTGTTTCACATGGCTGAATTCGGCTCAACGAAAACAACCGTAGCGACGAGCAAGCCAATAAGCAAACCGCTCCCTTCGAAACGAAGATTCGTGGGCGTAAGGCAAAGGCCTTCGGGACGATGGGTGGCCGAGATCAAAGACTCCTCTCAAAGAGTCCGATTGTGGCTCGGGACTTACGATACTCCGGAGGAGGCTGCACGGGCTTACGACGAGGCTGCGCGGGCCCTGCGTGGAGAAAACGCAAGAACCAACTTCTCCACACCGATAACGAATCCATCGAACTCAAATGGAAGTGTTGATCCTAATATAATGAATGATCAATATGATTGTACTAGGTCAAATAATAGTGGTCATAGTTTCTCTTCATTGAGAGCTAAGTTGAGCAAGAATCTGCAGGGTATAATCGCTCGAAACTCGGAGAATAATAAGGCCTTTAAAAGTCGAGTGAGCGACCATTTCACTTTCGCGAGTATTTTTCACTTTAGGGGATATCAGAATCAGAATCAGTACCAGTATCAGAATCAGAATAAGAATCGGAGTCATATTGATATGAAGAGAATCGAGAGGGCGGTTCAACCTAGCGTCGTTGTGCCAAGCGTGTGTGAGGATAACGAGCCGTCTCCTTCGGATGGATTGATTTTGTCCGAATACGGCTCGGACTATGGCTCGGAATTTTGGGCTGGTTTGTTGAGCCGAGGCAGCTTGGACTCGGATGGAGCCGATGTGTGTAGCTCATCCGGTGAGTTAGGGTTTGGTGACCATGGGATGGGGTGGATTAGTAGCCCGGAGGTGATGAGCGGCGGCGGTGGCGGTAAGAGAATCAAAGTTTCTTCTTCTGTGGTGGTTCCGCCAACGTTTACGAGTGAATCTCCGGCGGCGGCGGCGCTGCCGCGAGATAGTGATTGGTGAAAATTAAAAAGGATGGGGAAAAAATAATTTCTTGTTTTGAGTAAAATGAAATGCTTAATTTCTACCAAAGGGTGAAACTGCATTGCATGATTATTATAATTAGCTTCTACTGATCAATGTAACATCTCACAAACTTGTACAGTATCTACTATGAATAAATGAATAAATACCAGAAGAAATTACAACACAGTTTTTTTTTTCTGTAAATAAATAAATAAATAGATATGGGGTTAACTTAATCAAGATCATCAGCTTATTAGTGTACACTCTTTGGGGTTGATTAACTTAATTAATCAAGATCAGCTTATTATATACACTTCATTTAAGTAGCTCAATTCTATCTGAACAGCTTATTAAAAGCTTTTTTTTCTCATTAGCTTTATAGTTTGATCAATGGATCAGTCAAACTATTGGAGTGTATATTTTTATATATATTGACATATATTTATGTATTTATAATTTTTAAATGTCACCAACTTGTGATTCACTCTAAAAACATAAGTTTATGCAGATCCCTGCCAATTTGGAGTTTTCAGGCAAACATAAAGAAAACCTTAAATTGCTTTCTGTGCAATAATTGTTTATTATTAATCAAGTTGGTAGATTTGTTGCTGTTACACATTTAAAAATAAAATGCAACACCGAATCAGGAAATTAGATGCTACACTTGGTTATTTATTGATGATGCTAAAATGTAGATCACCTGGGGTAGTATAGAAAATGAACTGGGAGAGCAAAGCGGATCAGTAGCTTGACAACTTAATGATCCTGAGGTCCCTGCGAAATGAACACACGTGAACTACGCCGGAGGTTGATCCGGCGGAAACCCCTCCGACGCTCAAGTCAGACATGCTGATCATAGAAATAGTCCAGAGAATACAGTTAATAGTATTGCTCAGTTAATCGAACGTACCTTAAGGAATGAGTTCAAACCTTTATTTATAGATTAGTTGAGATTGTCGGGCCCAAACCTTATTTGAAGGTGATTGGGCCTCGGTGATTGTGGTCTTCGATATTGGGCTCGTGGCCCAGTATGTTAGGAAATTGTAGGCCCATTGGGTTGGCCCAATTAGGCATATCATTAAGCTCCTCACTCTCGAGTCGATGTGGGGGCCATGTTGAAATGGGTGACATATCGTGTCGAGAGTAAAAATTGTAGTAGTCGATGGTGTGCGAAAACGCATTGGAGCGCGTGTTGGAGGGGCGTGAAGGCGCGTTGGCGCGTAGCGCGACCAAGTTGTCGCGATGTAAGTGACTTGAGTCGTCGGTGTTGTCCCACGACGATGTGGTAGCGCAGATCAAGTTATCTCATCGTGGGAGTTGTCTCGTCGTGTGGTAATAGAGTTGATCGAGTTATCTCCTCGTGGGAGTTGTCTGTTGATGATGTTGTAGCACGGAGCTAGTATTCTCCTCGTGGGAGTTGTTATTTATCGACATTGTCAATGTTTTGACGCGTTGCTTGTATGTGTTTACATATAGCCTTCTACGTGATGTACTTGAGGAGGGGATCAAGCTCTCAAGATTTTTATATGGGGATCGTGCCCTTTGTTAGACATCGTGGGTCATAAGTATGTTTGGACCGTGGCCACGTTTTAATGAAGGACCCATCGAAAACAAGTAGATAAATTTGAGTAATCAAGCTGGCCAGGCTATATAGATTCCCATAATATTTCTAAGTGTTTCTAGGGTCGTAATCGTGCTATCTTGAGCTTGCGATTATATATTGAATTTCGGGCGAGTTGTCTCCTCATGGGAGTTGTCTCGCAACGAAGTTGTAGAAGCATTGGATGACGCGCGACTGAGGAGCTTGCGATTATATATTGAATTTCGGGCGAGTTGTCTCCTCATGGGAGTTGTCTCGCAACGAAGTTGTAGAAGCATTGGATGACGCGCGACTGAGGAGCGTGCGTATCGAGGTCGCTCTGAGCGAGTTGTCTCCTCGTGGGAGTTGTTTCGCGGCGAGTCTTATTACCGAGCGAGGTAGTTCTTCGTGGGAGTTACCTTGCAACGGGTTTGTAGTGCCGAGTGATTTGGTTACTCGTGGGAGTTGCCTCGCAACTGGTTATAGGGACGAAGCGAGTGGTCTCCTCGTGGAAGTTATCTTGGTGTGGTTCCGTAGACCCGAGGGAGTTGGCTCCTCGTGGGAGTTGCCTCGCAACGGGTTATAGGACGGAGCGAGTAGTCTCCTCGTGGGAGTTATATCGCTATGGTTTCGTAGACCCGAGGTAGTTGGCTCCTCGTGGGAGTTGTCTCGCTGCGGGTTGTAGGACGGAGCGAGTGGTCTCCTCGTGGGAGTTATCTCGCTGTGGTTTCGTAGACCCGAGGGAGTTGGCTACTCGTGGGAGTTGCCTCGCAACGGGTTGTAGGACGGAGCGAGTGGTCTCCTCGTGGGAGTTGTCTCGCTGTGGCGTTGAGACCCGAGGGAGTTGGCTCCTCGTGGGAGTTGCCTCGCAACGGGTTATAGGACGGAGCGAGTGGTCTCCTCGTGGGAGTTATCTCGCTATGGTTTCGTAGACCCGAGGGAGTTGGCTCCTCGTGGGAGTTGTCTCGCTGCGGGTTGTAGGACGGAGCGAGTAGTCTCCTCGTGGGAGTTATCTCGCTATGGTTTCGTAGACCCGAGGGAGTTAGCTCCTCGTGGGAGTTGTCTCGCTGTGGGTGGTAGTACTGAGCGAGTTGGCTCCTCGTGCAAGTTGTCTCGCAAGCCCCCCACTCTCGAGACGATGTGAGAGCCAAGTCGAAAGGGGTACCGGATCGTATTGAGAGTAGATCGGTGTTGTAGTCTTGCGTTAATCGTTGGCATGGCGTGGAGAAATAATTTTTTTATTTTATTTTCCATTTAATAGCGAATGCAATTTGGTAGGTGCGTTAAAGAGCTCGCGCAATTTGGTGGAGCGCGTTGAAATTCTCGTGCGATTTGGTGAAGCGAGTCAAAATCTACGCGCAATTTGGTGGAGGGCGGTGAAAGTTGAGTCCAATTATATGGGAGCGCGCGCCAAGGAGGCCTTGGGAGGCGCGTGCGCGTGCATGGGAGGGCGCGCGCGCGTGATAGGTACTTTTTTCTTTTTTTCTTTTTTCTCTCTCTTCTGACGCGCGCGTGCTGTGCACGCGCGCCTCTTCCTTTTTTTTTTTTTTTTTTTGCTGACGCGCGCGTGCTCCGCGCGGCACGCCCGTCAATTTCTTTTTTTTTCTTCATCTTCTTCTGGGGTCTCGCGTGCGCGATTTTACCCTTTTTTTTTATTTTGGTGGTTGATGTTCACCCCTTGGGATGTTCTATTTTTTTAGTAGGAAGATTATACTCGTCTCTTGCGATGTGATGTGAACCCACTTGGGGTTGAAAGGTAAGGGTGATGCCCAACCTTGGGATGGGTTAACCACCCACTGTAGGATGAGGCGCTCGAGACCTATGGTCTGAGGTGAATGCACACGGTTGTGTCGTTGCTTCAGTGACAACACGAGTTGAAGCTTTCGCGGTCGTATGCTGAAGGTCCTTGTCGGTTATCTGAACCGTTAGAGGAGCAAGTAGAAGTTGATATTGTTGAAGTTTCGGCGATCATATGCTGAAGGTCCTCTTCGGTTATCTGAACCGTTCGAGTGGGGGCGGAAGTAGGCCCCCAGAGAGTCGATGACCCATGGCGAGCAAAATATTTTGGGGGCAGATGTAAGCCCCCAGGGAGTCGATAACCCTTGGCGAGCGAAATGTTTTGGGGGCACTGTATACCCCCAGGGAGTCGATAACCCTTGGCGAGCGAGATATTTTGGTGGCAGAGGTAAGCCCCCAGGGAGTCGATAACCCTTGGCGAGCGAAATATTTTTGGGGCAGATGTAAACCCCGAGAGAGTCAATAACCCTTGGTGAGCGAAATATTTTGGGGGCAGATGTAAGCCCCGAGGGAGTCGATGGCGGTGGTGCCATAGGTGGCTCCACATGTGGAGCAGGTGCTGGTATCGCGTTGGGAGCATTTGCTCCCATCGTGGCGATATGTTGGGTCACGGCCTCTGTGGCAGCGCGAGTTCAAGCTTCTGCTATCATGCGTTGAAGCGCATCCTCGGCTATTTGAACCATTCGAGGAGCAGGGAGTGGTGGATCGGCGAGTGGTTGGTCCCGAGGGGGGATCACCTGAACCTCGCGAGGCGGATCCATGGGACGTGGAGGAGGTGGCACGCCAGATGCCTCCACGAGGTGGGAGGTCGTTAGCTGTGTCACTTTCTCTCCGAGCAGACGCCTCAGGAGGATCTTGTTGGCTACGTGATCTGGTTTGCATCGTTCCCACAGACGGCGCCAAAATGATGATGCTAAAATGTAGATCACTTGGGGTAGTGTAGAAAATGAACTGGGAGAGCAAAGCGGATCAGTAGCTTGACAACTTGATGATCCTGAGGTCCCTGCGAAATGAACACACGTGAACTATGCCGGGGGTTGATCCGACGGAAACCCCTCCGACGCTCAAGTCAGACATGCTGATCATAGAAATAGTCCAGAGAATACAGTTAATAGTATTACTCAGTTAATCGGACGTACCTTAAGGAATGAGTTCAAACCTTTATTTATAGCTTAGTTGAGATTGTCGGGCCCAAACCTTATTTGAAGGTGATTGGGCCTCGGTGATTGTGGTCTTCGATATTGGACTCGTGACCCAGTATGTAAGGAAATTGTAGGCCCATTGGGTCTGCCCAATTAGACATATCATTTACATTGGGTGGATTTGAACCGTAGATCTACACATAATTATCCACGGTTCAAATCCACATCGGGTAGCATCTAATTAGGTAAAATTGAACATTTAACATAACTAAAAAAATGAATTATTTAATTTTTTCTTATAACAAACATTTGAGTTAATAATCCGGATATTCCAATTTGAGGTTGATTACTTAATAAGCCGGATATTCCAATTTGAGGTTTTTTATTTCTATTTGAAAGACTACGGCCCGTATAGCAATTGGTATAGCCCGAACTAGACGGCCCAAATACAAGCCCATCATAAAAACTCTGGTTCAGCTTCAAATTCGAAATTTCAGTCGTCTTCCCAAATTCAAGGGTTTCTACACACCAATTCGTTGCAGAGAAAGCTCGAAGAGGTGATTTCCTGTCGCTCTTTTTCGTTGTATTTGTGAATTATCGTGCAACCATTTATGTACTGTATTATGTAATTTTAGACGTAGATATTTGTAGATCTGATTTTCTTTTTCTCTCTCACTGGTTAGGGTTTCAGATATATTGCGTTGGAATTCCTGAGATCTTTTGTTTTAGGTACGTATTCAGGTGTATGCTTGTAGCTTTGAACAGATCTATGAATTAGGGTTGTGATATGCATATTTTGATTTTCAGCTGCCAATTGCAGTTTCGGAACTAGAATTCTGTGCTCGGGGACTCTGTGTTGTTTATTTGCTACTTTTTTTTCAAGTTTTGTTCTATCTGTTATATATTTATGAAACGTGATAAGTATACACATCACGCGGACAATGTATGATACAGAATATCATACTCAAATTTGGATTGAAGGTTTTTGAAGTTCAATTCTGGTATTTTCGTTGCTTTACGAAACATCAATTTGTTTTTTCATTTATTGGAAGTGTGGGGATGAATGTAAAACTCATCTAAAGATTTAGTCTTGGCATTTCTTATGTGAAAAAAACAGGAATTTATCCTTCCTTTTGACATTTTGAGGAACTGTTTATCATGCATTTAATCCTTAGTTGCGTAGCTTGAGTTATCCAGATCCTTTCGTCGCTGAAGTTCATGCTATTTGTATTTAAGATTACCTACATTAGATGATGAAGAATCCGATTTCTTTGCAGGAAGCTTTGAGGATCATGAGGCCTATATTTTGTGGGAATCTGGAGTTTGATGCTCGTCAATCTGAGATTGAACGTCTTTTCAGAAGATATGGAAAGGTGGAAAGGGTGGATTTGAAATCTGGTAAGGTTGCATTTTGTTTTCTTCGGTTTTTGTGACTATTTATTATAACGCCCTGAACGATTCGCATTTTGCTATTTGATTGAACCCTGTATCTTTATTTGGTCTTGACTTCCTGTAAATGATCAAATGAGAAAAAAACAATGGGGAAAATGGTTTGCCTTGTCTTGACCAACTCTCCTCATCGTTCGCCGCAATGGACTGCTCTATCCAAATATTTAAGAACCCTGCAGTGAGAGTGGATGAGAGATGTTGAAATTCATCTGTTTCCGTTGCCCAAGAAAAGTATAAAAGTATATGCCTGATGCAGACTAACAATATTAGTTGGTATTGAGCACACAACACTTTCTTGGCTTTTTGTCGGAAGCCCTTGAGTGTATTAGAAAGATAAAAATATGTTGTTAACAAAATCTCTGTACATGTTATTTCCCAGAAAAATCGCGTGCGTTATTGCTGTAGTGAAACCCCCAAGCTCAATAGTTTCTTTGGCGCAGGATTACTTGGATATTCCATGATCTTCCTCGATGGATGGTTCTCTGCGTTTATTTTACTGGCTTGTGCCCAAGATACATGTTCTTGTGTTTGTTCGAAAGAACCAATATGATCTGCCATGGTCCCACCATCTTACACATTCCTCAGATCATTGCCTTTTGCATTCCTCATGACTTTGCACAGTCTTCAATTTCCGACATGTTTCAACATAGATATCATGTTCATTCCGGATCCAGTGGCAGGTGTTGTGTTTTTTTTTCATAAAGATTTTCCCTTTTATCTCCCTCTGATATGCAGGGGTTTGAGTGATAACTGTGGTCTAGTCGAACAGTGTGGTATTTAAATGTCAACATAATATGTATCACTTGTCCTTCTGAGGCTATCTGGCTTGGTTCCTTAACATTTTTGGCTTGATAGGCTTCGCGTTCGTATATATGGAAGATGAGCGTGATGCTGAGGATGCAATTCGGAAGCTCGACAGGATAGAGTTTGGTAAAAAAGGACGCCGATTACGTATAGAGTGGACCAAGGTATTTACAATATATTCGATATATTCCTATTTTTTAATGCTGATTTATTTTATTTCATTCCAAAAGTAACCTAATTGAGTTTGATCTGCAGCAAGAACGAGGTGGTAGAAGGCCTGATAGTTCCACAAAATCTTCCGGCAACACAAAACCGTCAAAAACCCTGTTCGTTATTAACTTCGACCCCGTCAATACAAGGACCAGAGACATCGAAAAGCATTTCGAACAGTATGGAAAGGTATCAAATGTCAGGATCAGAAGGAATTTCGCATTTGTGCAATACGAGTTGCAGGAAGATGCCACCCGTGCTTTAGAAGAATCCAACATGAGGTCTGTCATATTTATATTACCAAGTAGTTTCTTCTTTTAGTTTATACTTGGATTGTATCGAATACTATATATAATATATTATATTCTTTGATGCAGTAAGTTTATGGACCGCGTAATATCGGTGGAGTACGCAATACGAGATGATGATGAGAAGAGAAATGGGAGCAGCCCTGTTAGAAGAGGAAGAGAATCTTCTCCAGATGGAAGAAGCTACAGTCGAAAACGTTCACCAAGTCCATACACTAGGGATAGGGGTAGCCCTGATTATGGGCATGGATCTGTACCTAATCCAAGATCCGAGCGAAGGGAGAGCCCTCGGCATGTCAGACCAGAAAGCCCTCCCAATGACAGATATCGCAGGTTAGTATCTAATTGTTTATAATAATTATTTTTTGTCGTTGAATTGAATATTTAATTAGTTATTTAATGTACAGCCGTAGCCGTTCACCTCCTCGTCGTGAAAGAAATCGGTCTTAGAAAAGGAAGATAGTGTGTATGTGGTTGCAGCTGTGGCTATCATTTTTTTTTCTTGTTAATTAGATTTATGTGTGATTAACAGTAACAAATTTGGGGTAGAATTGTGTGTTTGAAATTTCTGAGGGAAACATTTGTACTGTATTTTGCTAGATTGCAGACTGATGATGTCACTTCTTTTCTTGGATTTTCTGGCTTTGTGATGATAATTGTGGGATTAGTCATTGATTAGTGATTATTAAGTGTTAATTTTTCTTGCATGATTGAATAAAGTTTCTTTTAATCATTTAACTTTTAGTAACCATTTTGTTACTGAGTAAATATATTGTTAACACCTTGAGTTAAGGTAAAATTATTAAAAAAAAAATCCTCATATTTGGATATTTGAATATTTAAAACTCCTTTAACCGTCTATTTTTCTACACGTTCTATTATTGATGGGGTGATCGAAAATTCGAAATTACCCAAACAAAAATAATTTTCTGGTATTTGACCTTATTTCAAGCGGTGGTCGTAACATAATCTATAAAAGTTTAACTATATGTATTTACTCCGTAAAAGCATACCGAATCGTATTGAAATTTGATTTTGTCACGGTTTGGTTGGTTTATTGGAAACATACGGAAGTTTAGAAAAACTTTTGAATAATAAAACAAAAATACTTTTGAATAATAGAAACAAAAATTTACAGAGATGAATTATTTGAGTTGTGGTGGGTGTATGTGGATCTTTGTGCAAGTTCATTAGCAATTTCCTTTGTGCGTTGACTATGATATTCAAAATTTCAAACATAACCAAAACCACTTAATATAGGATAATGTTTGGTAATTTGAAATAAAATAATAATTAGGTAATGTCCCAAGTCAAAATCATTCATAAGATCCAGATCCACATACCTTACAATAGTTTATTTCTACAACGATCAAATATTCAAATTCACCTATTGTGGGCCAATTTTGATAATACAATAATCCATTATTTTTCAAATTTGAAAAAAATAAAAAAAATAAAACAAACTTCTAGTCGGTTTGTAGTGTGTGGAAATTGCAAATGCATGGGACAAAATAAACCGAGGTGACGTGTAAATTATATAATAATATACATACCCCCTAGCCACCAAATAAACTAGGGATAAATCCAAGCCCAAATCATCCTTTGACATACCCCTGGAGAAGGGAAAGTACTATACTACCCTTATATGCAATTTTCGGCCAAACTGCATTCAGCATTTCTGGTACTGTATTTATCATTTTCGCTGATTAATTTATTATTATTATTATTATTATTATTATTATTATTTTTATAAATAATAATAAACCTGTTTATTAAATTTATATATATTTATTTTTCTAATTTTTTAATTTTTTTTTAAATTAAAAAAATTAATTTTTTTTTTAATTTTTTTAATTTTTAAATTTTTTTTAATTTTCAAAATAATATGTTTGTTGTACCGAAAATAACTACATGTAACTATAGTACCTATAGTAATTCGTAGTTATGTTCGTTTTTTCCCCATATTTTTAGTCGATCAATTGTATACACACACGAATACTGGCTTATACAAAAGAAATTCATAAACCCCAATAAAAATTTACAAATGTCAATATTTTTATTATAAATCAACTCAGAACCAAAAAAAATAAAAAAATGAAAATACATAAATATCTGCATATATAACTACATGTTACTATATATGTGTAGTAATGTATAGTAATGTATACAGTTTGTCAAACACTGCTTCACATGTGACTTCAACCAAATTTTTGACATCTTCAAGGAGAGGATCAATGGCTTTCATAAGCTGCAATTGCAAAATCAAAACAAAAAAAATTATTTAGTTGCAAATAACAAAATTTGAAGAAACATCAAAACACTCAAAAGTCAACAAACACTAAGAGATCGAGAGAAAGAGAGAGAGGTTATTGCTGGGAAATGCTACAAATTTTAAATCAAACATACAGTGAATCCTCACCCCCCTCGCCTCCTACCAAAACCCTAGGCGCCGCTACTAACCACCCACAGTTTCGCGCACCCACAAATGCAAAAAATTATAGAAATAAATCTGTAAACATTAAAATAAACAAAATTACCATCAAAATATAGATCTCGAATAGAGGAATCCAACGGTGGGTAGCCCATCAAATTTCGACTGGTGGAACACAAAGAACACCTCCGGCAAGACCATCGTCGTCGAATGAAAAAAAATTACAGAAACAGATTTGCGTTCCAAACTGAATGAATCACCACCAAAAGAAAGAGCCCGACGAGAGGAATCCAACTGTAGTTAAACCATCGAATTCCGACCACCGGAGAGAGAGTTATGGCTCCGGGAAGCAATTTCACTGGTGGGAGGTTTGTGGAGGCGGGATTTTGAATCTAGGAGAAGAAGAGAGACCGAAATGTGAGTGTCTAGGGTTTAAAGCTGATTTTAAAAGGGTATTATAGGTACTTCATAAGGGCCCAGGGGGTATGTCAAAATATTTTCGAAATTAGGGGGGTTTCCCTTAGAGTGTAATCCACTTGGTAGTTAGTTCTATATAATTTGGGAACGAGGGGTCTACAAAATAATCCCTAATAATAATAATAATAATAATAATAATAATAATAATAATAATAATAATAATAATAATAATAACCGCAGGAAAAGGAAAATTGTTGGTTCTTATATGAAACGACGGCGTATCTCTCCCCACCCCACATTTCTCGAAGATGAAATAGATAGCACGCCGCCTTGTCTCGACTGCCCCCCATGCTAAAATCTCACTTTTTCTTTATTGTTTTTTGATATTTAAATAGCAAGTTAGTACAATTCATTCAAATTATTTCACAATTATTATTCAAAATTCAAAATTCAATTATTATTTTTTTTTCTCTAAGAAACCCTCTACTAACACTAATCAATTATTAAAGATAATAAATCAAAAAAATAAATAAAAAAATAAATCAAAATAATATTTTCGTGGGAGAGAATATAAATGATTACAAATAAAAAAGGGGCAATAATGTCATTCAGACCACACATGCCACCAAGACAAACCCAGCCTCGTCGCACGTGCGTAAGAAAAAGTCCCACGCCAGCGAGCCCCAGCTACGTGGCGCACCATAACCAGCCACGTCAGCATCTCGTCCTCGATATGGTCGAAGGCACAGTTTCAAAAATTTACCACAAATCTCAACGGTCGGATACACTGTTCAACCCCTTAATCTCAGCCGTCGGATTCCACATATTATCGCTCCACCCCCTTTTGTCCGAAACCCCACCGTGCACACTCACACACACACACACACACAGTAAACGCACCCACTGACTTACCATATACTATTTGGATACGTCCGTTTTAATTGCCAATACATTACACACAGTACCTTCTAGAGAGAGAGAATTCTGACATTTTTTTCTTCTACGAGGAGAGAGAGAGAGAGAGAGAGAGAGAGAGAGATTTTGAAATTGTTTGAAATTGTTAATGGTGTAATAACTTGACTACTATTTTTGCTCTCAATTTCTATTCTTTGGGATTCCTCTGTTTCTCTCTCTGCTAGCTACACAAAGGTAACAAATTTCTCTTCTTTCTTTTCTGTCAATTTTCTAGAGAGAGAGAGAGAGAGAGAGAATCTGCGTATGTGATTTTCTTGATTCCTTTCTAGCTTAACAGAAAGATTTCTAGGATCAAACCTTAATTTTGTTCTGGGCTTCATTTTGTTGTCTTGATTTTTCGAGTTTGAAGATTCAAAGATCAATTTTTTATTTAAAGATTGGTTTTTTATTTAAAGATGCAAGATTCAATTTTGAAGTCAAAGATCAAATTTTTTTTTTTGGTGTGTTTCTGTCAACTTTTATACCTTTCTTTTTTAAAATGGAACGAGTTAAGCAAGATTGCTTTCTGGAGTTAAAGATTGGTCTTTTATTTATTTTCTTTATTAATTTAAGATCACAAATCAAGATACATACACCAATTCGTCAATCCTTACATAAATCATTGTCTGAGAATGAATTTCTTTTTTTTTGCTTACAGAAAAAGTAGAGAAGAAAGCAGTGGGCTTTGGTGTATGAGGAAAAGGTGTTAGAGAGTGCCTTGAATGTTAGCCAAAAGACAAGAGCAAATTGAGGTATTATTTTGTATTTTAATCATTTGGGGTTTTTATTTGATTTTATTCCTTCTTTCTTGGCCCATCTCACAACATTTAAATACACTCCATTCAAATATTCATATATATATACATACATATATACATACACAACTGGAGATAGAGACCTCTTTATCTTCTCTTCAAAGCAAAGTCTTTTTCCCCCTATCAAAACGCCCAATAAAAAAACATTATTAGGAAAGATGCAACTCACAAGATGAATGAAGAGTAAAGTTACCTCCTTTTTTGTTTTTATGCATGATACAATTATACCCCTATGAATACACATATTTACTTACATGCTTTCTTGATTCAAAAATTCTGTGTTTTGGGCATATTAGTCATTACAAGTAAATCTTGACATCAGCTTTTATTGGACGGTAGATTAGGCTGTTGGAAAGTTCCTTCTTTCACTTTCATCTACTGTCATTCTAACATCTTCTCATCATTGTACTTCTCCCTCATATTCATTACAGTATTTTAAAAAAAAAAAAAAATTGAATAAATTATGATGATGTACTATAATAAAGTTTTTTTTATTATTTTATTATTTTAATATTTTTTATTTTTTTTATGATTAGGTGCTTTGTTATTACCTGTCGGCCCTCTCATTTTATGACCATGCAAGATTCTAGAAAGTCACTAATCTCGACCCACTTTCTCCATTTATTTATTGCATTTTTTTCCCTTTTTTAATTAATAAATTTATAGTATAATCTTTGATCATTGCAACCACTCCACATAGCTTTAGTTTTTCTATTACAAAAGTATTTCTATTACCAAAATCTTTCTCTTTTAACGTTTTGCTGATGTTAGTTCCTGTCCAAATAGTTCCATCTTACTTGTCAAAGATTAGATTTTTTTGGGGGATTCTTGATTATCAAGGTTTTGATTTTTCTTTATTTGTGTTCCTTTTCAGTTCTGAGTGATAAAATAATTTGAATTCGAATCATGGTTGAAGAGGGTGGTCAGAATTCCGCGGTGGACGATAGCATATCAACCGAAGAATGGCTATCTTGTGCACAAGCCCTCGTTCCAACGGCGCTGAAAAAGGCCAGAGAAGTAAAGGGTTTCCCTAGTAGATGGAAAATGATCATTTCGAAATTGGAAAAAATCCCGTCAAAATTATCGGATTTATCCAGCCACCCTTGTTTCTCGAAGAACGCGCTTTGCAAGGAGCAGCTCCATGCTGTTTCAAACACACTAAACGAAGCAATCGGGCTTTCAGAAATATGTTTGAGCGAAAAGTACGAGGGAAAACTCCGAATGCAGAGCGATCTCGATTCCCTCATCGGAAAACTCGATTTAAACCTACGCGACTGCGGCCTCTTGATCAAGACAGGTGTCCTCGGCGAGGTGTCGTTCCCATCTCTTCCCGAGGGTGAAAGCGTAAATTTACGGGAATTGCTGGCTCGCCTCCAAATCGGGCACTTGGAGGATAAGCACAAAGCCCTCGATAGCTTAGTGGAAGTTATGAAGGAGGATGAAAAGAACGTCTTGGCTGTGATTGGACGGAGCAATATATCGGCCCTCGTCCAATTGCTGACCGCCACGTCACCGCGGATCAGGGAGAAGACGGTAACCCTAATATGCTCGCTGGCGGAGTCCGGAAGCTGCGAGAGCTGGCTCGTGTCGGAGGGGGTGCTCGCCCCCCTCATACGACTCGTAGAGTCGGGAAGTTCGGTCGGTAAAGAGAGGGCGGCGATTTCACTCCAACGCCTCTCGATGAACGGGGAAACCGCCCGTATGATCGTGGGCCACGGGGGGGCGCGTCCGTTGATCGAGATCTGCCGCTCCGGCGACTCCGTCTCGCAGGCGGCGGCGGCGTGCGCGCTGAAGAATATTTCGGCAGTACCGGAGGTCCGGCAAACCCTAGCCGAAGAAGGTATTGTGAAAGTGATGGTGAATCTTCTAGATTGCGGGATTCTTTTGGGGGCGAAGGAATATGCCGCCGAGTGTCTTCAAAATCTCACTTCTAGCAATGAAGACCTAAAAAGATCGGTTATTTCCGAAGGTGGATTGAAGAGTCTTTTATGCTACTTAGACGGACCGCTGCCTCAAGAATCGGCGGTCGGGGCGGTGAGGAATCTTGTGGGGTCCGTCTCGACGGAGGTTTTATTCTCCGCTGGGGTCCTACCGAGGCTCGTGCACGTGTTGAAATCCGGTTCTAGTGGGGCCCAATTGGCCGCTGCTTCCGCCATGTGTCGGATTTGTGGCCACTCGATCGAGATTAAAAAATCAATCGGTGAAATCGGTGCGATCCCGTTTCTCGTGAGGATGTTGGAGGCGAAGGGTAACAGTGCGAGGGAAGTTGCGGCTCAAGCGATTGCGAGTCTTATGAGCGTTGCATACAACTGTAAAGAAATCAAGAAAGATGACAAGAGCGTGACGAATTTGGTGGCATTGCTCGATCCGAGCCCACAAAATTCGGCGAAGAAGTACGCGGTTTTGTGTTTAGGGTTGCTTTCGACGAGCAAAAAGTGTAAGAAGCTGATGGTTTCGTATGGGGCGATTGGTTACTTGAAGAAGTTGAGTGAGATGGAGATCCCGGGTGCGAAGAAGCTTCTTGAACGTCTCGAGAGAGGGAAATTGAAGAGTATGTTCACCAGGAAGTAGTTTTCTTCTTTATTTTTTTGTTGTTGTTGTTGTAACATTATTGTTATTATTAATTTCTTTTTTATTGTTGGATGCTTTGTTTAGTTCATTTACTGAATGAAACGAAACGAAAGTAGTGACAGCAATCAATCCTGGTATTTAATGTTATGTGTAAAGGAATAATTATATGAACTTTCTTATGACATGTTCTTGCATGTTTTTAAGTACCTATATCAGGTTATTTACATCAGGTGGATTTGAACTGTAAATTTGATTAAATAATTATTCACTAAAATTACATACAAATGGGTGTGCGTATGATTATGTGCAGATTTACGGTCCAAATTTAACTCGTATAGATAATCAGGTGTAACATCTAATTTCGTATTTTTTTTGTTATGTTATTGGATTTTATTGGCTGAATTGGAAAAGAATGTCATGTGAGACCATATGACATCAAATAAGATAGTGTTTGGTTGTATAGAATCACTAGCATTTGGGCTGTTTTCTTACCAAACCTGTCCCCACCATTATGTAAGATACACAAACACTTTAATTGTTGAATATATATATTTGTTAGATAAACTATACGTAAAAAGAATTAAGCTCAATTCAGCACAAATATTCGATCAGAACAAACCACAATTAAGAACAGTCCGTGCACAAAAAATCAAAGCAAAAAAAGAAAACTCTAATTTCTATAAGAACACTAGCATGAGAAATCTAATCTGAAATTTAACGAAACAATTGTAATTGAAGGATGAACGAGATCTTTACTCAATCAATAAGAACACGAGTTTACAAAAAGAATCAACAAGGAGATCAAAACTACAGAGATTTCCTTCAACAAATCTCCACTGTTTTCTCTTTCTCTCGCTGAATACAACGTTTTTTCTCTTTCAATTCTAATTAAAGATAGTTTCTCCTCCTGTTATATCCTCCCAGAAGTTAGTTTCATCCGCAAGTCTTTAGCATGCGTGTCTTGAACTTCACATCAGCAAGACAGTTAGTTGTTATTCACCAGTGACCGATCATCCAGTGCATGTACAATTAGTTGTTTGCATGGCGCTCTTCAGATTCTACATAGTGGATGTGTGTAAGTTGATAGTTAATATTTAACATAGTGAGATACTACATAGTGAAATTACATGGATCAAACTCCGTTGGAAAATGACTTATTAACCCTCCCAATAATTGGGTGTATAATAATAATAATTTCTTGATGAACAATAACATGTGCATACTTTGTTTTTTTTTAGGCAAAAACATTACACGTTTGTACATAATTGCAGGCTCTCTAATTTATTAAGAACCGCTTCTTTAGGAGACACTGCAGCTTCGTGTAATTTTTTAATTGGTGTAAGTATTGATTCAATAATTATTTTTTTACAATTATTTGGCCATGATTCAATCATGATTTATGATAATTAATTAATTGGTTAATTAATTTATAGAGACATTGGAATAAGTGTGTGACATTCTTTTAATTTTGAGCCCATTAAATCAGCTTATTGGGATATAATGGGCTTAAAATACATTGGGCCCATCATCCGGTCTTTTATTTTGAAATTCATAAAGAGGCCCATTAAACAAATAAAGGTAAATTATAGTCACCCCTGACGACATTATCAAATTACGAAAAACCCTAATTTTTTTTGGGTAATTACAACCACTTCCTCGACTGTGAATCTTCTTATATGTCCACCCTTAAGGTGTCAAAATTAATATAATTTTGTAGATTCTATGGAATTTTGTTTAGTTTGTACTCGTTTTGTGAAAAAATGCAGTTTTTGATGCACCATAATCTAAAATATACAAGCCAAGAGACACTTAATATGATCATCTTGTTTCAAAATGTAGAACTCGAATGAGATAAAATGGGTACATTGGAATATATTGGGCCCACCGTCCGGTCTTTTACTTTGAAATTCATAAAAAGGCCCATTATAAAAATAATATTAAGAAATAATTTATTTAGTTTTTTACTATAAATAAAAGAATTATAAATGGTGGAATAAAAAAAGAGAGGACCAAAACACGCCTTTGGCATTTATCAAATCATATCATCATCATCGTCATCACCAAACACTGTTGCTTTCTCGCACTAGAAAACACAGATGAAATGAAAGTTTAGAGAGAGAGAAAATAATATAAAAATCAATATTGTAGATTTCAAGGCGGAAGGGTGCGGCACATTTCCCGGTAACAACAACCACTCCCCATCTGTATCTAAACATATATATATATATATACACACGCACTTGTATGTACGTAGGTAGTAGCCCTAATTTTTGAATTCCTCTCTCGATTGGTACTGCTTTTCCATTTTAGGTACGGATTTGTATTGTTCGTTTGTTACTGGTTTAGCTCACCGTTTATCTGTTTGATTGTTTTTTTGAGCTGATGAATGATTATGATTGGTTAATTCAATATGTATAGATGGTGATTTCGAAAAAAAATCTTTAGTTTTGGGTGATTTTATTGTTTGTGTTACTATCTTGTTAGAGTACTGGGCCGTGGTTTTTCTGCAGGTGTGATGGTTGCTAAATTGTTATGTATTTTAAAAGCATTGATTACGGTCTACGCAATCGAATAATCGAACAGTTATTTTCGTCGATTTTCAAGAGCGAAGACGACTGTTGTAAACATTTTGTACATAGGGTTTATATTTATTGAGCTTGATTATTCAGGATGTAGGCAGTTTTTGCTCAACCACTCTATAAATTATTTCTTCTTTGTTGTTATCCATCGGGAGCTCCATGAAATTAAACCTCAGAATTGTAGTATTGTAGTAGCTATTTATATTTTCGTTGGCACTCTTTATTTCTTGATTGTTTACTTTGTAAGTGATACCAGACCATTTACACGTGTTCTACACTCTTCACCTCAAACAAATGGTAATTAGAAAGAAATTGAATAACCGTTGTAGAAAATTGAAGAGATCATTACTTTAGGTTGTCTGTGTTAACTTTGACTGAAACTCTGTCTGAGATGGACAGAGTTTAATGTTAGTGTTTTTGCAGCTGACGACTCTTTCCATACCATAACGAAATCGATGAATTGTAGTTAAATATTTTTGTTACTTTTGTATGTTAAAGAACAAGTTAATGAGCAAAAGTCAAGAAATACTACAAAATCTGCACGCGTTGCAGTTCTCTTATTCTCTTATGTTAATTAGAACTATTCCAGTTTGGGTTCTAATGTCTTATTGTCTTGGATTAAAGCACTATTCCTCCTGTAATATTCGTACCTTGTTCAGGTTCTTCTAGATAAAACATGAGTTCGCTAGATGTTGCCAGAGCTGAGCTCGCCCTTGCCGTTTTATATCTGAGCAAAGGTGAAGCAAGGGATAAGATATGCAGGGCAATACAATACGGTTCAAAATTCGTGAGTAATGGAGAGCCAGGCACAGCACAAAACGTTGACAAAACGACCAGCTTGGCTCGAAAAGTATTTCGTTTGTTCAAGGTTAGCTTTTAGAATAAGGAACCGGGGAATTTTAGAAGAGCTGTTTTAACCTCTCATCTATGTCATCTCTTTGGTCTTAACCCTTTTTATTTATTTTGTTATTTTACAGTTTATCAACGATCTGCATGCTCTCGTTAGCCCAAATGCTCCAGGAACTCCACTTCCTCTAATTTTGCTCGGGAAGGTATTGTCTCTTTAAGTAGATTATTCCTACCTAATCTTTGTTGGTATTTTAGTAATTTTACCCTTTTAGATGGTATTTATTGCAGTCCAAAAATGCCCTATTGTCAACTTTCTTGTTTCTGGATCAAATTGTGTGGCTGGGTAGGACCGGCATATACAAGGTATATCTTAAAACTTGTCTAGTTCAACAGATTTTTTTATGAAGATTTTTTTTGAACGAGCAAAATGTTTATGAATGCAGAACAAGGAACGTACAGAACTGCTTGGAAGGATCTCTCTTTTCTGTTGGTTGGGTTCTTCTGTCTGTACCACACTCGTTGAGGTATTATTTATTTGTTTTATTTTTTCAGCGGTCAACACGTTTGAATAATTGCTGTGCTGTTATTACTTACTAAGCTATGTATATTTCTTGTTGTGGTTTAAGATTGGGGAAATTGGAAGGCTTTCAGCATCAACGAAGAAGTTAGAGAAGGCACTTAAGAATACCGACAAGTACAAGGTTCGCGATTTCTTGAAAATATAACAATTAGTTACGGAAAATTCCAACCTCAGAAATCTACTTATTTTTTCATAACAACAGAACGAAGAATATCAGAGTAAAGTGAAGAAATCAAACGAGAGAACTATAGCCCTCGTTAAAGCAGGGTTGGATTTGGTAGTTGCTGTGGGTTTGCTTCAATTAGCACCCAAGAAAATCACTCCTCGTGTAACGGGTGCATTTGGATTTACGAGCTCTCTCATCTCTTGCTATCAGGTTATCTTCATTTTACTATATTTTGTGTAATGTTGACTGAAAAAACGATCGTAAATTTACTTACATAACTTTGACTTGTGTTTGTGTGCAGTTGCTTCCGTCTCCACCGAAGACTAAGACAACCTGAAGTTGAGGTTAAACGAAAGCCTCGAATGTAATGCAACAATGATTTACACTAGGGCGAAGCTGTATGAATGAATGAATGAATTTGAGCAAAATTTACTGAAGTGTTTGTTCATTTTGCTGCACAATAGTAATAGCAATAATAATGTATACAGCATCCTTTTTTATGTTTCTGTTGGAACCAAATAATAAATTTATGTTTTGCTGCCCTTTTCAAATGTTTATTTATATTGTACAAGATTTACATACATTGGGAAAAAACCAGAAAAGAAATGAACATTTTAGTTTAAATATGCTTAAATATGGGGACTGAATTGCAAATTTCTAAAAACCATTAAACCTAGTTCCTTTGTCCATTAACAGCGACCAACCCTTTAATTTTTATCGTCCTAAAAGGAAACTGAGTAGTAAAAACTGTTACAGATGACGGCGGCGGCGCAGGAGAGAAAAGAGGTGGCTGAGCGGTGGTGGATTGGAGAAGCGGCGGCGACTGGTTTGGCAGATCAAGCATTTGAAGGCCGCTATTTTTGCTGGGCGGAGGTGATTTTCTGGAATTGCTGTCTGTCACAGAGAAAGAGAAATCTCAGAGGTTTTCCGGCGAATTGGTTTCTCCCGAATTCGGAATTTCGCCGGAGAATCGGTTGTTGTGAGGTATGAGTATGGGTGAAGACCTCCGGCGCGATTTTTCCCGGCGAATTGGTGGCGTGTGTGAGTTTGTTTTCATTGAAGCTTTCCTGGCTGGCTGGGGGCAATTCTGCCATTTCACAGGCAAAAATGAAGAGAAAAATCGCTCCAGCTGCGCGTGAAAGACACGTGGGGTACGGATACCTTGACTTTTTTTTAGCCTGGGGGTACATGGGTCATATGTTTTTTGACGGGGGTTATTTACGAATTAGGTATTTCAAAGGGGTACCTATTGCAATTAACTCAATAATAATAATAATAAATTGGTTACTTAGTAGCAGTTACCCGATATATTCCCGCTAAATTCAACTAACTGCTCACTGATGGCAGTTAAGAATTAAGAGTTCTCACCATTAATATATTCAATCTTCTGTTATAATTCTCTCTCCATTTGTTCTTCAAGAGAAAAAAAAACTCAACAGCACAATATTTTCGAGTTCTGATCTTCAAGAAAGCTCTGTTTCGATTCTTTCTCTGGATTCTTCGGGTCAGGTACAAGCCATTTTGTGTTCCGATTTTTTTCAAGCCATTTAGATCCTTTAGTTGTTTTATGTTCTACAGATTGATAACATTTGCCGTTTATTGAATTTTTCTGCTTCATATATACATACATATATATGGTAATCTATTCTTGTATATGTTCTTGAATTATGAATCTTGTTGAATTATATTCAGTACAATCCACTAAATTTGATCTGCTTTCTCATGCAGGTTCTGAGTTTACGTGCAGCGACCTTTAGATTCGAAACTTAAAGAAGGATTTCATTAGCAATGCATCGTAATCAGCAAGCCCAGATGCAGCCAAACTTCTTCGGAGTATGTTGGTTTAATTTTAAGAAGCACATTGATGCTCAACAAGAGTATTATCGTCCTGTGAGTCATACATTATTTAGTCTGCTATATATTATTCAAAGAGAATTGTCTTTAGTTCTTGACAAAAATGTGATGGCAGCCTCACACCGGTTATTGGAGTAATTTTGTTCACGATTTGTACGACACGAGAGCAGTGGAGAAGTTGTGTGTCGATAAATGCAAAGACATTCAGATGTGCAAAAACCCGATTTGTATGGAAGTTGAAGGGGTACGTACATCTCATGCCAATATATCGTTTTTTTTTTTTTTTTATTTCAAACAGCATCTAATTGACTAATTCTGTATCGATTTTATTTGTCAAACATTGAATGTTTCTTTTTTCTTTTTGTGGGCTCAGTATGCTCGGAAATGCAATATCTGTGGGTCGTCGTCGAATAGAATTTTTGGTAAGTGATTTAAAGTAATGATCGATCTTTCTTTATCGAATTAAACGGGAAATTACTGTATTATGATTTCTTATAGTATACTTTATTAGGGCAAATATGAAGTGTGTTATAACTTATATATAATAATGGAGGTTGATTTCTGAATACGTAGAGGCAAATCACAAGTCACTGCCACATGTGCTGGAGTCTAAATACCAGACCGGTCTAATGAGTGATGTCATCCTTTATGGCACGACTCGAGAAGAATTCTTACCGAATGGAAACTTTTTGCTGGAATCCAGAAATACTGTTAGACATATGAAATACGCAGACTTTACCGTAGTTTACGAAGGAACACTTGGTGTGGTGTTCAACAAGATTAATGCCAAGGTATAACTGAAGTTTCGCAATATGTATATTTTTTACGAAGATATATATATATATATATATATATATATATATATATATATATACACACACACACACACACACACTAGATTAATGTTGAAACTGTTTGTATGTTTATATGATTATTAATGCAGATATTATCATGGAACTTTTGTGCTAAAAATGTTCAAGTCCTTGTTCCAGGTCATCAAATATCGAAATATATGGTATGTATAATGTATTATTCTACAGCTTTCTCGTCGACCACTGCAGCAATCTTGTCTGAAAAAAAAACCATTTTTTTTTTTTGCTTTGAATTCTTTTTGCAGCCACCAGGAGTGCAGCTGACTCGGTCTGTAGCAATCAGTGTTGGGGGGTATATATGTACCATTTCTTATTTGGCTATAAATTTCTTAGATAATGCTCTCCTGGTTTTATACATTGCTTGATTTACGTCAGATTTGAGATTTACGCTGCTATCTATGGGGTTGATATCGATTCTCATATAGACAGATTTGGTCTTCCTCGGTTGTATACTAGATCCTTTATGGTGAGGACGAACGAAACGTGTGTATATATATATATCCTTAATATTTATTTCTGTTCACTCTTGATCTGACCATATTTGTATGTTTTCTCAGCAGCTTGATAATTTTGTTCCTAGTAATGATAACGACACGGGTAGTCGACCAACTGGTACGTACTACAGTGCAACTATATATTTACATCGTTTTAGTTCTTGATTTTTCGTTCCGTTTAATTTCTTCATGTGAACTTGCAAGAAAATATATGTATATATATATATATATATATATATATATATATATATATATATATATATGAGATGACAATTAACTTGGAGAGGTTATTGTTTGCAGCGAACTTGATCGCATTAATCGACAAACGACAAGAAGGGAACTGAGAGCTGCAGCAGCTACATTGCAATATAACCATGTGACTATATAGGCCTTATTTTCTGCCAGAAACTTTATGCCAAATTCTTGCATCTATAAGTAGTAGGATATTATACATTTCTATCTTACATATATGAAAAGGTTGACTTTTGAGATCAGTTTGACTTTTCTGAATATGAACTAGAAGAGTTGGGGGCCGAAATATCAAATTAAGGTATTCGGTGCTCAAGTTTGAATACATATTTTTTGTTCGATATAAATGTTGAGGCTCGGTTCATAGTCGAGCTATCCTATCGATTATAGGATAAAAAGAAGTGACAATAATATAGTATGTGTACAATAAATGAAGTTTGATTTGTGTTCGGTTTGGGTAAAGCTCTAGTTTGATTGTTTTATTAAATGAAATTCAAAATATAACTTTGAAGCGGCAATTAAATCCTTAAAATATGGGGACTGAATTGCATTATTTCATCGTTAAAAATAAAATAAAATAAAACCCTTCTTCACAAAATCCGATGCTCGCCAAGCACCACCGCAGAGAAAATCCATCGACGGGGTAGCTGAGGGGGGGAATAACTGTTACAGATGACGGAGGCGGCGCAAGAGGTGGCCTGGCGGTGGTGGATTGGAGAAGCAGCGGCGACTAGTTTGGCCGCTATTTTTGCTGTGATTTTCTGGAATTGCTGTCTGTCACAGAGAAAGAGAAATGTCCGGCGAATTAGGTTGTTGTTGTTGAGGTATTAGCATCGAGGTCGAGTGTGAAAACCTCCGGCGCGATTTTTCCGGCAGGCTCGGGGCAGTTCTGCCATTTCACAGGCAAAGATGGAAAGGAAATCGCGCCAGCAGCGCGTGAAAGACACGATTTGCGAATTAGGTATCTCAAAGGGGTACGTATTGCAATTATCTCAATAATAATAACAAATTGGGTAGTTAGTAGCAGTTACCCAATATATTCAGCTCCAAACTCTCCTTGTGATTTCCCGCTAAATTTCACAATCAAAAAAGTCCTTCGGGCTTGCAACTAACTGCTCACTGGTAGCAGTTACTATTAATAGTTCTCACCATTTTTAATATTTTCAAGCTTCTCTTATAGTTCTCTCTGGTTCCGATCTTCAAGAAAGCTCTGCTTCAATTCTTTCTCTAGGTATATATATATATATATATATATTCTTGTATTAGTAAAATCCCCTAAATTGATCTCTGCTTTGCTTTCTCATGCAGGTTTTTGATTTTAAATTTGAAGCTTGAAAAAAGGAATTTCGCTACCATGTTTCGATCACCAAAATCACCACGTGTTATGACACCGCTAGAAATGGTGAACGAGAATCGAGAGTTCGAAAGGGTACTCCGGCTTGAAGCAAATATGACAAAAGTCATCCGCGATTATGAAGCCAAGTTCAATAGTTACGTTAATGGTCGACGAGATCATTTTCGTCCGGTCAGTCATAACTTTTTTCCTTTTTTTTTTAAATCTGTATATACGAATCACATTTCATTAATATATATAATAGCTTATTTCAATTATTCTTTGGCATATTTAATCATAAATTGTTTTAATTCTTGAAAATGTGGCAGCCCAATATTGGTTTTTGGAGCAAATTTGTTGGAAAATTTTACGACCCGAACGCCGTGGAGACGTGGTGTTTCGAGAGATGCGAAAACAGTGAGTTGTTCACAAAGCCCCGTACCGATTTAATTGGGGTAATTTGAGTAATTTCTTGGTTTTTTTTTTCCTTTCTTCTTTTCCCCTCAAATTTCTTCTATCTTGTTTTTAACTGTTTTTTTTTTGGTCAGAATGTTAGCCTGTGTAACATCTGTGGATCGTTGTCGCGGAATATTCTTAGTAAGTTATAATCTGCTCATCGATCTTTATTTATCGAAATAAACGGGAAATTAGTTAGATTATTATATATGATCTCTTGTAGAGTATAACTTATATAATGTAGCTTGCTTTCTGAATTTGTAGAGACAACTCCCGAGTCAATGCCACTTGTATTCGAATCTTTATACGAGACTCAGCTAATGAGTGATGTCATCGAGTTAAATGAGACTCGACAAGAGTTCTTACCAGATGACACTTTTTTGTTTGAAAGCCACAAATCTTGTAGATATATGATATACAGAGAATTTGACATAATTTTCATGGGTACAATTTGTATCGTATACACCAAGAGACACTCTCAGGTATTTTTGAAGCTAAGATATATATATATATATATATGTATATATATATATGTGTATATATATATATATATATATATATATATATATATATATATATATATATATATATATATATATATTCGAATTAATATGTTGTACTAGATTAATGTTGGAACTATTTGTATGTTTATATGATTATTAATGCAGATATTATCATTGAGATTTTGTGCTGAAGCTGTTAAAGTCAGTATTCCAAGTGATCAAATACCACCATCATTGGTACGTATAATGTATTTCTACAGCTTTCTCTTCGACCACTTCAGAAATCTCGTCTGCAAAAAAACCCGTCTTTTTGTCTTCTTCTTTTGCAGTCATTTTTATATCCGACGGTGTACGAACGCAATGTACTAGTCAGTGCGGAGGCGTATGTACCAATCTTGTTGTGTAATTAATCCCATTTATTTCTTTATTTTTCTGTATATTTCTTACATAAAGATTCTGTTTTTGTGCTTTGTTTGTTTTACGTCAGATTTAAGCATTACGCGACTGCTCGTAAGTTTAATATCAACTATCATATCGACAGTACTTGTCTCCCTCGATTACATCGTGGATGCTTTTTGGTAAGACCTATATATATATATATATATATATATATATATATATATATATATATATATATATATATATATATATATATATATATTAATAAATAAATCCAACAAATATTAGTTTCACTTTTGAAAATATGATCGTTTCTCATCTTCAGAAAGTTCAAATGATTGAGACTGCTCGTTTGATGA